TATATATATATATATATATATATATATATATATATATATATATATATATATATATATATATATATATATATATATATATATATATATATATATATATATATATATATATATATATATATATATATATATATATATATATATATATATATATATATACAAAACATTTGCAACCAACATAGAACAATGCTAAAAAATGTCTTAAAAACGAAACGAACTATACTACCACAGCAAACAGTTCAGGAGTCTGGAGTCATAGCATGCCATGACATGAGCAATCAGCTGACAGGTGACAGCACACAGGCAGAATTTTGTTGACAAGTGCCATTTTGCAGCGGACAAAACAAGTGCAACTTTTGTTTGGTTTGTTTCATTTTCTTAAGTCTGGTCCTTGTCAACGTCACGGAAGTTTTTTAATAATAAAAGGAAGTATCTAGAAGTTTCCAGAAGAAGCATCTGGAAGCATCCAGAAGTATCCAGAAACATTCAGAAGCATCCAGACGCATCCAGTAGCTTCCAGAAGCATCTAGAATCTTCCAAAACAGATTCACACAGGTTCATTTTACTATATAAAAGACATGTAAACCGGCATGTAATTCGGTCAGTATATGGAAGTCAATCAGTCAGTATTATCAAGACAGTTTATCGAAGTGAGTTTTATCAAAGTGTTTTATCAAAATTATTGGTGATTACTTAAGTGGAATGTCACAAAAAAGTATTTGTGATAAATATCGCGTAAAAAAATGAACCGTATCAAGACTATGTTCCAAATATCGTTCTACGGAGAAATTGGCAGCAAATAACAAAGGTGGAAGACGGCGTTCCACCACTTCTAGAGAGGATTCTATGATTGTCAGATCCGTCAAGAAGGATCCCTGGATATTATCAGTCGAGATACAAAAGCAATTAGAGCTGCCTGTATCGGACCGAACAATCAGACGACGTGCTGTTGAAGCCGGATAGTTTTTTCGACGCCCTGCAAAGAAACCGCTGATTTCACTAAAGAACCAGAAGAAAAGACTTCTATCTGCTACATCTCATATTGACTGGAATGTGCAGAAATGGCGAAATGTCCAGTTCAGCGATGAATCGAAGTTCAACATCATTGGAAGCGATGGCATTTGTCGTGTACGTCGACCGGCTGGAAAACGCCTAAATTTACGTTACTGCTATAAGACCGTAAAGCATGGTGGAGGCAATGTAATGGTCTGGGGGTGTTTTTCTGCTAACGGTCTAGGTCGAATACATCGAATCGATGGAATAATAGACCGTTTCATGTATAAAAATATCCTGAAAGATGTTATGTTACCTCATGCTGAATGGAAAATACCAATAAAAAGGTTTTTTTAGCAAGACAATCATCCGAAACACACTGCAAAAGTAGTCAAACAGTGGTTTCAAGACAACCACCTGTCGGTGATGGATTGGCCACCTCAATCTCCGGATCTCAATCCTATCGAGAACCTGTGGGAGATCGTCAACCGCAGAATTAATCGTGAAGGTGTTCGTAAAACGGATCAACTGTTTGAACAAATCCAAAAGGTCTGGACAGCGATTCCACAAAGTTTTATTGATCACCTGATCGAATCTATGCCTCGAAGATGCAAGACTGTGATCGACAACAAAGGATTCGCCACGAAATATTGATAGCGATATACAGCTTGGTCAACATTTTGTGGAGTTGCACTTGTTTTGTCCAGAAGGATATTAACTTTTTTTAATACTTTTGATTAATTTATTAATTTTCGTGTACAAATAATGAACTTTGTGATGAATAAAACTTAAAGAACGTTGTCTCTAAACAGTTACATAAAATTTTTAAAATTCACACAATAATCTTTTGGCATTCAAAAACTATGACCATAAAAAGTTTATACCCCGCTCAGTTTGAGGGGTTGCAAATTTTATAAGGCCATAATTGTTGAACGCTAAGAGATTATTGTGTGAGTTTTAAAATTTATCAATGAATATATACTTGGTTGAGAATAGTAGAAAAAATATTTTATCAACTTTTGTTCTCACGTTTGGGGGAAGTGTAGCTAAAATTTTAGAATCTTTTTTGTTCCCAGACTTCAATCATTGCAAAGCACCTTTGTTTGATATAAATATAAACTTTTTGGAGTTTGCTCCATGTCTGGAAGTTATGTATCTAAAACATTAAAAAATGCTGCATCCGTCCGCGCCTTTATATATATATATATATATATATATATATATATATATATATATATATATATATATATATATATATATATATATATATATATATATATATATATATATATAATTATTACCGTTATTATTTTTTAGGTGCCCCAAGAAGACCTAAAGGTCTTGTCACAGAGTATCGCGGAAGTGCATTTAACCAGAAAGTTCACGCCTCCTTTCTTACCGTGACGCGAAAATATGTCCAGAGCTCGTTTCAAATTTGGATCTTTTGCTTAAAAAGCAAGCGCAGTAACCACAGGTTTAACTTGGTTTAATTTTTTTTTAAATCTTGTAATATAAAAATATATAACCTTTTTTTGACTATGTATTTGTGTCTTTCTTTTTTGTTATTAATTTTTCTTTTTCCGATTGTCCATGTCTGGAATGAAATATGCTCCTAGTCATGCTGATGAGCCCTGATATTGGGCGAAGCAATCATTTGTTGGTTTATCTATTTATTATTGTAATATGTTACACCAAAATGGTAGAAAAGAATCTACAGCTTTATGCTTTTAATAAATACACTTTTTGTTACAAAAAGTTTTTAAGTAAAACTAAGATGAGCTTCTTTCTGTAATAGAAAGAAAATCTCTTTAAATCCTCCAGCCTAATGGCAGGAAGATTATAAGAGATACATAGGGGGAGGCTATTGGAGTAATTATCCCCCCTTCCCTAGATTTTTTTTTTTGAGATATTGAGCACAGTGTTTAAAGTAAATTTAGAGGCTGTTTCAAAGTGACATGAAATTCGGATAAAACTGTGTAGTGAAAATTCTTTTTTTGCGCTTGCTGGCTTAAAAAAACATTAAACCTGTAAATCGATGGTCTGGATTCTGAATATGTCAAAAAAATTGCTCCGTTCCACTTCATGGTCTGAATCCGCCCTAGCTTTAGCCCCCCTCCTTTATTTGCCTTGTAGGCATAGTTGCGTTTCTTACAACATGACGTAAGGCGCTTTTTTTTTTGACGGGGTAAATTAAAAATCTGCGTCCGCCCCTGTGATTTTTTTAATTTCTATAGGTACCATGCAAATTTAGTAACCTACACAGTCATCTCATAAGTCCAGTAGAAATTCTTTCTTTACCGTATAGTTACAATTTTTGTGTGACGTTTTTACTAAAATATAGCGATTTTATTGGTCCTATAGAACCTAATGGATACAACTAAGACTGCTGTAGGATTCCTATAAGTACCCTTTTGCTCATACAAGAATCCTATAGAACAAATATAGAAATCCTGTACCAATCTATAAGAAATTTTGTTTAGGGAAACACTGCCGGGCTATACTAATAATGTTCAAAATATTTATTTACATACGCTGCCAGTTTTTAATTTTAGAACTGTTTGTTTGCACTGCCAGCAGTTCTGAAAAATTGTTTTGACTGTCTCGATTTTTTTCTCTTTTTTTTATTCTCAATTATTTCGTGCATATTGATAAATTAATAAATTGCCAAAATAAATGAGTAGATCTATGGTTTTCTTGCTATCTTTTAGTAAAGTTTACCCAACAGCAATCAATGGGATTTAAGTTGCTCGGCCACGAAGCAAAAACAACCGCATTATCTTGGAGCAATTTTTGCCTGATGGCCAAAGTTTTTCATGCCCCGTCGTGTATGAAGATATTAACCTTATAATTTGAACACAAAAAGACTTATTCTTCTTTTAACTGAATTGACAATCTCACCTCGATGCAAAAGGTATAAACCAGTACGACTATTGGGAGCAATACGATCGAAGATGCAAGATGATGCAAGATGCAATAAGATTGAAGATGCAAGATGCAATAAGATCGCAATAAGATGCAATAAGAATAAGATGCAAGATGCAATAAGATCGAAGATGCAAGTCTTTGATCAAAACGCCTTGCCAACTGTGCGGACATAAACTTTACATTAGGAGGCAGTTGAGTAAGAACTCGCGAGCTTTAAATCTGTACGTCCTTCGCAGCCAAACAACGTATCAATTTGACGATTTTTGGGAGGATAACTTTTAGTTTTTCACTGGATTTTCCTAGTTGGTGCCATTTGTTAACTTGATGGGCTGAATGCTATGATAAAATTGTCTTAAGCATCTTCAACAAATAGTAATTTGTTTAGATCTACCGCCTTCCATCAAAGTTGTACTTGTGTACGTTCAATAGGTTATGTTCTAGTCTAAGATAATTAACTTACACACGATTTTCATGTATAACAGAAGATATTTTCCTAATGATAACTACGCAATCACTCACGCAACGCGTTTAGCGCGAGGTCAGCATGCAAAATTTGCATTTTATTTGCAAGTAACTATCTACAATAATAATTATTATAGATAATTTACTTGAAAACGATAACTCATAATTATTATGAGTTGTTGGATCTTTTTAGCCATAATTATGTACAAAATATTATATATAAATATATAAATATATATATATATATATATATATATATATATATATATATATATATATATATATATATATATATATATATATATATATACATATACACACACAAAGACTTAAATACTAAGTGTGTGTGTATATATATAATTACAAATACTAATATGTTCTGATTTTATGGAACCAAAACTAAGCCATATAACTAAATAAACTGTGTATACTACTTATCAGATAATACGTACACATAAACTGTAATAAAAATGTTGCGTGTTTATTAAATTTAGCTTTGCGCAGCTAAAAAAGAAAACGATTTCCTTATGCGTGTTAAACAGGTCCTTTCAGTTTCAGTTCCCAATTTAGGGAATTATGCAAGCATTAACCTTATAACAACAGCAATAACAACAAAAAACCGATTGAAATAAAAAAAATATATAGTCGCAGCTCTATTTATATATACAGCCCCAAAAACTCGAAAAGATAGGAGCAAAACATCTTCACCAAATTAGAAGAGTCAGCTAAGATAAATGAAAGGCGTTCTTCCCTTCGTTATATGCACTTTTAAGCTTATCATACATAATTTCTAGGCTTGAATAATCGGGCAACTTTAGGTAATTAACACAAGTCATTACAGAGGGCAAATAATCATCAGGGTTTGCGTTGTTGTCAACAGTCTTCCGGACGATTGTAAGAGGCGGGTTTAAACTTTTGAACCCTGCAACAACAATAACAAAAATAAATAAAAGACTATAAAAGTAGTGGTCAAAGCTAAAACTTAAAATTATTTTTTTTAATTTTTTTTTAAATAGATTTGAATTTTAAATTTCTTACCACCAACGGGTAGTTTTGGACTTCCGGTAATAAACTGTAAGAACAACCTTTGCTCTTCAGTATTGTATTTGCTTAATATGTCAAACAAGTAACAAACCGCTCGGCTAAAATAAACGAAAGATAAATTTGTAAATAAAAAAAAACATAGGCAATTTTTAGAAAAATAAAGAAAACGTTTATTGCTTAATAAATACAGGCTTACCTGCTTGAAGTATAACCATGGTCAGGTCGGCAACATTCAAATAAATCTAGAACAATAAAATTTAACTAAATAGAAATTAGCTCAGTCATAAAACAGTTGTACTTACAATCTAGATAGTTCACAGAAAACGAAACAAAAAACAAAAAAGACCTTTTGCAACCCATTGTTCACTTTTGCAGCCACATAAAAGCAGTTCCATCTAAAATATTTAATATACTATTTACATATTAAATATAAAATATTATATATTTAATATATAACCTTAGTATTAACTTGTGTATCGACACGCATTAATGTGACGTCACATTAAAGCGTGTCGACACGTTTTTGTGTTTTTGTTTATATATGTGTATATCATGACATACACACATATATAAACAAAAACACAATCTTTGTGAACTTAGCTTTGACTGATACATGTTAAAACGCAAAACTACTAATATAGTATAACTTGTTATTTTTCAGATTCGATTTTGACTGTAACTATTTTCAGTTTTAAAGAAATTTCCTTAATTTTCCTAAAGTGATTTAATGATTTTTGTTAGTGAATTCTTTCCTAATTAAAATGTCTGGCAGGAATTTTTAAAACCTTCAAAAACTATCCAAGTAGCAGCTTTTATTTAAATATTGCTGACGAAATTTTTATCTGTAAAATAAAAAAAATTTGGGGGTATTTTTTCCAAATAACAGAATTGAAGTTTTAATTGTTGTTTTTGGTATTTTTATATAAACATTTCAAAAGCAATTCATAAATTGACAGATTATGAAAATTCAACAGAATAACAGATTTAATTAACAACTGTTGTAATTGCTAAGCTTGTCTGCCATCAACTCTTTGTGGAGGCAGAATCGATGGTGTTTGATCGGATTACTAATGTTACAATATATATGATATAACTGCCTAAACAAATTTTTATTAGGGAAACAATTTATGCCCTTCCATTATAATTTTGAAGTTTATTTTAAACTAATTTTGTAAGCCCCATTTAATTTTCCTCCATCATTAAGTGTAATTCTTTTCATACTTTTCATCAAATTACAAGATCGCATACTAAGTCGTTTTTGAAAGTGGCCAACATATTCTAATTACGTGGTTACTTTTTTGCTATTTGGTTTATTTTACAAGATTAATAAGTAATATATAAAAATAAGAGAAATATTTAAAATATTTACCAATTATTTGGTTTGTTTTATTTTTAAATAAATTAAGTAATTTTTATTTGGTTTATTTTACCATATAATTACTTGATTTCATTAAAGATCGTTTATTTTACCATATAATTACATGATTTCATTAAAGAACTGTTATCTTACCATATAATTATAATAGTAATAAGTTAATAATTATTACTATTATAGTAGAAAAGGAAGCACATGCACCTTTTAAAAACCATTTTAAAAAGTCACGAAAAGTTACTAAATCAAATTAAAACTTACTTCTTCTGGATAAAACATTCGGAGATTTTTCAACGGAAAAAATTGTTCAAAACCTTCTTTAAAAGCATTTAACTGTCTTGCTACTCCATCGCGTAAGCTGTATTTTACAATCAACTAAAATTCAAAAATCAATAAAAATTTACACTTTACTTTTTAATTAAAAGATACAAAAAAACAAATTGCTAAAAGTTTTTCAAAAAAGTATAAAAATGAATCAACTTACATTTAAATATTCTTCTAGGTTTTCAACTGTTACTAATGTATCTTTACCATTTTTTTTTAATTCAATATTAGTACCAGGTAATATAAAATCAAGACCTAAATCTTCAATAGAAACACCATCTAAAGTTAAACTGTTCAAGGCTAAACTTAAAGATTCTTTAGAATAAGAAGTATCATTTTCAAGGCGTTTCTTTTCAAGACAAACATCATATAATTGACTTATTGATTGATATAAGATAGAGTCAACATATTTCAAGTCTGTTATATCTATTGTATTATCTTGTTTAAGCAACCATTTATAAAACGTCCTACTTAAGGGAATGTCAATCATACGAGAGTCCATACATGCTTTTGCAATAAACTTTCCGAGATAACGAAATTTCGCTTTAATCTTGTTTAATTGTGAATTCTTTATACTTTTAGGTAGTGCAACTAAAGTATTTAATAATATTTTATACATAAAATAATATATCATCATATATTTTTTACACACTCTTCTTTTGTGTATATAAGTCTGGCTGCATATATACATATATACATATATTTACAACCTATATTTTAGGCTATTTAATTATATACAATAATCAACAAACTTATTTCTAACTAAATAGAAGATTAAAAAAAAAAACTTGACCAACTTGGAAACAACCCATGGAGAGTACTACAGTATTCAACCTGTCCTTTTGAATCACCTGTAAAAAAAAACTTAGAAAAATGCAAAAAACAACATAAAAAGATATTTAAAACAAAATACTAAAGTGTTAGTATATAACTAAGATACCATCACTCTCAACAACTGATACTTTGTCTCCTCTCCACATATCATTATCACTTCGTTGAAAATATTTTGAAACTAAAGCATAAAATTCTAATGTAGGTCCAAGACCAGTCCCAACCTATTTAAAGTAAAATCTTATTATTTACACAAAGTGACATACTTAAAGATTATACATATGAAAAAAAATTATAACACAAATATACCTCGCCTTCATATTGTATTTCTAATAGAGATTTTGAATTTGTGAAATCATTAATTAATGATTCACCTTCTTTGAAAATGTTATTACGGTTAACAGTGCGCTATGAAAAAACAGGTCTCAGTAAAAAAAAAAAAAATTATTTCAGTTAGTAAATTATATATATATACATATATATATATATATATATATATATATATATATATATATATATATATATATATATATATATATATATATATATATATATATATATATATATATATATATATATATATATATATATATATATATATATATATATATATATATAACGGGTGATTACTAAAAATCTGGACAAAATTGCTTACATCATATTTCTATATGCAACTAATACTTATTTTTTCAAACAATTTTTAAAATGTTGCAAATTTATTCTTCTTTTGAAATATATATTAACTTTTATATAAGTATTTTAAACTTAGTATTAAAAATGACGTCAAACGAAAAGCTCCAGAGAAAACGTGTGTACCAGTTTTATCAAGAAAATTCAGATAAATCTAAATCACTCACTGTTTCTCATTTTGAAGCAGAAAACTTATCAAGATCGACTATATATGCAATTATTAAGCGTGTAAAAGAAGATAAACCATTTGAAAGGCAAACTGGTAGTGGTAGAAAGCCGAAAATAATGACTAAGCGCGCCATCAGTCAACTTACCAAACTTTTTGACCATAAATATGGCTTTTCTTAGCGCATAGCTTCAAAAAAGTTCAAATGTTCTTAATCACTTATTTCTAAGACATTGAAAACCAAAGCATCAATAAAAAAAAAGAAAACAAATGAAGATTCCAAGTCGAACTGAGAGCCAGAGAGCAAAAAACCGACATTTGTTTGGTCAACTTTATAAAAATTATAATGATTTCATTTGGGTTCTTGATGATGAGTCTTATTTTACTCTCTCAAACAGCCAAATTAATGGTAATGATAATTTTTATTCAAGTAACATCGAATTAACACCAAACAATGTTAAATTCAAAGAAAAAAAGAAATTTGAAGAAATATTATTGGTTTACGTGGTCATTTCGCCTTTTGGCCTATCAACTCCATAAATTGTACAGTCTGAAATTGCTATTAACCAGCATATTTATGTTGATGAATGTTTGACTAAAAAACTATTACCACACATCAAACAGCTTCCAAAAAATACAAAATACATATTCTGGCCTGATCTAGCAAGTGCTCATTACTCAAACAAAGCTGTTAAGTTTTTGAATGAAAATGGTATAAAGTTTGTAACAAAAAGTGAAAACCCTCTAAATATGCCTGAATGTCATTGTATTGAGGATTTTTGGTTTTGTATCAAAGGATATGTTTACAAAAATGGTTGGCAGGCAGAGAATTTGGATCAACTATGCTCTAGAATAATTTACTGTTTTAAGAAATTCGACAAAGACCTGGTACAACGCTTAGCAAAGTCTACTAGCAGAAGACTTGATACAATAAGAAGACAAGGTCTTCTTATTGTGTTAAGTCTTCTGAATTAAGATTTTTTTAAAAAAATGTTTTTATTAAAATTAGAATAAATTTGCTATTTTATTCTTTTTAAAACAATAATATAGGTCTTCTAGATTAAAAGTTATTTAATTTTTAGTTTTGTCCAGATTTTTAGTAATCACCCGTTATATATATATATATATATATATATATATATATATATATATATATATATATATATATATATATATATATATATATATATATATATATATATATAATATAAATATAAATATAAATATATATATATATATATATATATAAATATAAATATAAATATATATATATATATATATATATATATATAATAAAACATTAAATATATGTATATAATAAAATATCTTTTTAAACTTAGCTTGACCAAATATCAACTGACATTTAAATTAGCAAAAAAATAAAATAAAAACTCAAGCATTTTTTAGTTTAAATAATAAACAAAATAAAGTAAATATAGCTTAATATATAAATATTAATACTTTAATAAAAGAAAAGAAAATAATAAACATTAAAGTGAAATGTTAATCAGTTATTAGCTAATACTGCACTCGCTCATATTAACAAAAAATCAATAATAAACAAAAATCGATCAACTAACTTTTTTTTTATCTAGTCTTGGAGCTACTCGATCGCTGCTGTCATTAGTAGTAATATCAGGAACAGTTTCCTAAAGATTTTGTATAATGTAAATATTGTAATCAATAAGAAATATTAACAACTATTAACAATTAAAACCACTTTTGAGTGCTAATTTCAATTTCACTGTATTGATAGTATTTTATGGTATTTATTTGATTGTTCTTAATTTCACCGTATTGATATTATTTCACTGTATTTGTTTGACTATTAATTTCACTGTATTAATATTATCTAAGTGTATTTGTCTATTAATCTCACTGTATTGATATTATTACACTATATTTGTTTGTCTAATAATTTCATTGTATTTATTTGATAATTCTTAGTTTTATCTGAAGAAGTTATCTGATATTAGTACAGAGATTAGCTGATACTGAAAATGCATGTTTAGAACCGGTAAATACTGAGTGAGTATTTTTAATATCAGCTAATTTCTGCACTTTCTGTTGGTTTGATTGAATAATTAGCTTTAAATAATTTTTACAATTTTCAGTTCAATTTCTAGTATTGCAAAACAATGCTAATTCTTGTTTTATATTTTTAATACAGAATTGGCTATCCCTGATACTTTTAATACAGAATTGGCTGATACTTTTGATGCAGAGTGTTGTTTGGCTTTTTCCAGTTCTTCTTCCATAACTTCTTTTTTCTTCCATAATTTCTTTTTTTCAAACAATTTTACTGTTGTTTTGGTAAAAATTATTAGAAATAACCTTTTCATTATTTTATTTGCCAAATCAACTTGTTTCTTTATAGAGCGGCCTTGTTTATCAAGGTTTGTGTTTTGGAGTTATAGAGTTAAGATGTTGTAACCACAATTAAAGTAGCCCCTCCTATGTAGTGGCCATGTTTTCATTTAACTCTTATTTAAGCTTTTATCAATTCTTCTTTTTTTAAACTTCTACTAACATTTTAATTACTGCCAACATTACCAAGTTTATTCATCATAAACTTAATTATTACATCTGTTGATGACAAAGAAGCATCTTGTGTACTAACAGATTCTACAGCTTTTATTGGTTTGAGAGCAATAACCAATTCACTATAAAGGTTGAAATTTACTTTAATATCCAGAATATCCATTTTATTTAACTCAAGAAGAGATCCAATAATATATTCTTGAATATTTATAAAATGCTAAACCATATCAATTAACGAGTTCCATCTAGTTTTACGTCAATTTTGAGCTCCAAAGAATATTCTTCTCCTTGCCCAAGTTTGATCTTGTTATTCAAAATATGATTTCTAACTGATGATTTTCTAAAAAAAAAATTTATGCATGTTTTTGATTTTTCCTTGAATATTTAATATATTTTCAAATTCAACTTTTGACAGACCAACATTGTAGCTTTATCTTTAAAATAACCTTTTATATCACTATCAACATCATTTTCATTTAATGTTGCATTATAATTATTATCTCTGTATAAATTATTTTGTACATTTCAATTCAAATATATATTTTTTTATAAAGTGTGTCACAAACAGCTCAATATATGTCATGTATATCATGGTTGAAACTGGTAAATTTGCTCTCTCTACTATTTGCTACCATACTTAATCATCATTGGAACATCATCACAAGTTGATGCATCAATATCTTTCTCAAAAAAAAAAAAAATTAAGTTTTCTAAATGAGTTTAAACTACATCAACTAAGTTAGATGTAGAAGAAAATGTAAATATAATATTAACATAATGTTTTATCCAATGCCCACTCATTAAATGTAATACTAAATCTTCTATTGCTCTTCAGCTTTTCAATTAATATTGTACTTAGTTGAGCCTTTTTTTGAATTTTATGAATAAGCCTCATGATATCAGATTTATTTTTAATGACTCATAAAGTTCTCACAATCACTCTTGTTGAAACTCTAATGACAAAGGCTAATTTAGTCACAATTTCTTGTTGGCTACTATGTCATGAAATCAAACATTGTTTTTTATTTTTTCATCACTGACTCACCATTATCACGGCTTGACTTAGCATAATTCCTTGAATCATTTTTATGTAGTTTATCATTGCATCAATTTAAAAAAAGTGTTAAATGGTCTGTAACATACAAATATTTTTTCATAAAAAGTCATTATAAGTAGTTTAACTTTATTCCTAAAAAAAGTCATTATGAGTATTTGACATTCTTATAAAAAATGATATGTAAATAATTATACATATTACGGTATAACAATACCATTCACATTTAAAAAATATTGGATTAGAAATTTGAATTTTAAATGCTTAAGAAATTTTAAAAAATTAGTTAACAGATATCAGATTTATTTAACCGAAATCAGATTCGAATACATAAGAAGAAAACTGTGAATTTTTGGGTTTGGTCTTTCCTAGTTGCCAGCTATGCCATTGAGGTAAAACTTTGTCTGCAAAAAATTTTAGTTGCACCTTGATGCTCCGAAAAACATTAATGAAGTTAATTAAATTTATTCTTTAAAGCAACTTAAAACCATTTAATGTTAAAATAACCTTATTTAAGCCTTAATAATAAGTTTTTGTTAACAACCATTTATATAAACTTTTATATTTATAAAACTATTTTCTGTATTAAGATAATTATTACTTCAAGGCATTTCTGTGAAGATATACATGTATATGGCAGAATAGTACCCTAATTTAACACAAGATATTCAAAAGACAATTATTTTTATTTAATTTCCGATACCCCTCTATAAAAAACCATGACAAGTAACAACAGAGTAAAAACTAATTTATTTTATTTTATAAATCTTACTTGCAATTTCATAACAGCTCGATCTCGGTCAAATGTTGTGACATAGAAAAGCATTTGACGACATTCAAAAGGAAATATAAAAGGGCTGAATCATTAAAAAATAAATAAAATTAGACATATAATAGTAAATAACAGTTGCTCAAAAAATTTAGATAAAGTAATATCTAAATAAAATACTTATATTAAAACTAAAAAAAGATCGTTCCACAAACAAAAACTGGTTAAAAAAGTTTTAAAATGTATCATTTTGGCCAAAAATAAACAATAACAATATATCAGCAACCATAGATGAATGAAAAAATATTTTGCTTACCATAAACAATATTTTACAATTAAAAAATAATTAAAAATACAAAATGCTGTCAAATATATTATATTAGATTATTAAATTTAAAACCAACCATTCTAATTGGTCTATTCAGGGGTGTAAAACACTATTAACTGCATATCTTGAATTAAATTATCTAATAAAATTATCAATTAAATATTAAAACTTTTTAAAAAATTATTTAAGGGTGAGGAGAGAGAAAGAACATATTGCACAAAAGGTATCACCTAAGCTATTACTTAGCACAGCACTGTAAACAACATATGAAAAAAATGTTTACTTCGAGTCCTTAAATAAGTACTTAACAAAAAAATAACATTTCAAAAATTTTTTTTAGGGGTTTACACAACAACAGTATTTTTATACAAAACCTATGAACATTCATTGAGCCCTGAATACTATGAAGGAAAAACTCTTCAAAATTATGGTCTTAAAAAAAAGTAAAATCAGATTTCAAAAATTTTGTATTGAGGTTATTATTGTAAAATTTATTGAATATAAACTATTAATTTTTAAATAAAAAAAGTTCATTTTTTTTATAGATAAAAATAGTTTTTTTTAAATAAAAGTAATTTCTTATTTTATATATTTTTAATAATTTCACTTCACTTCAGAACCAAGTTGACTGTTAAAGAATTTTTTTTTCATAATATTAGGGATCTATTTAATATGTAAGGGTTTAAAAAAATCCCTAAAAATAGTTTTTATAAACTAATTTATATAATTCAGTGTCATTTTATTGAATAAAACTATTTAGGATAAAAGAAAATATTTTTTAATGTTGCAATCTTTCTAGTCTATGACTATAGTAATAAAAATATCATAGAATGCAATAAAAGTATCACAATAAAAATGATCTGCAAAACAGGTTAATGCCAAAAAGAGTATGCAGTTGTAAAAAATTTCATGTAGTATTTAAATAAGAATATGACATTATGGAAACCATTTAAACACACATACAAACACAATAATCTATATAATACATATACAAAATACCATGCTTCTGCCAATTCTGAAAGCCATGATGGTAAATTACCAGTCATAATAATGAGAGGGTCTAAAAAATAAAAAATAAAAAAATAAAACTTATTAGTTTTGTTTTAAAAGTACAAAAAACAACAACAAAAAGAAAAAATAAACAAATATAAAGAATTTATTTTAGAACATCAAACATTTATATTATAATTAGAAGTTCAAACTAAAAAAATAAATAACATACCTTGAAGTTGTCGTGTTGCTTTTGCTGTTAGTTTAGTATTAACAAACTCAGTTTTAGGTACTACAGAACTACAGGCTTGAAGCTATATAAGTCATTTATGTATATATATATATATATATATATATATATATATATATATATATATATATATATATATATATATATATATATATATATATATATATATATATACACACGCATACACATACATAACAATTATGGTAAACACTTACACCAAAATAATCTCCCCAATTGCTATTAAGATAGTATAGAACACGTAGCAAACATATTACTTCAAGTGAGGGATCTTCATTAACTATTGAAGCAACAAAACAAATTTTATAATTGAAAAAAAAACCTTTAATACTTAAGAAAATGATTTAAAAGAAAAATTTATAAACTAACATTTTTCAAAAGGTAGTTTTTCACAAAGAAAATGATCAGCTGGATCTAAACAAAAACACCTTGTTAACTATCAAAAGAATTACTATCTTTAAAAGACACTTAAAAATAACTAAAAAGCCTAGGTATAAATCAAATCAGACAAAAATAATAAGTCTGGAATAAGACTATATAAGTTGATAAGTTATTATATTTGCAATGTAAAAATATAAATACCTAAATCTCCATTTTCTAGTGAAACTGAGGTGCTTGCTTTATGTGCTGAATCTGATTTGATTCTTTTTGGAGATAAAACAGGCTCCGTTTGATTAATAGGTCTGAAACTAAAATTTTAAATAAATTTTAATCATAAGTTTACTCAATGTTCAATAAACATTTAAAAACAATAAAAATTTGCATAAACTTAAAAACAGAAGAAAAAAGGAAAACAAAATAATAATAAATTACTCAATAAAAATAATAAATCATAATAATAATAACAAAAATAATAACAAGAAAATTACTAATAAAAATAAATGATAATAACAGTAATAAAACAATATCAACTATAATAATAATGACATTAAAATAATAATATTACTAATATTATTAATATATTAAAATAATTATATTAATAATAATAATAAAAATAATTACTAAATATTATTATAACCTAAATTTATAACTATTATTAAAGAATTACAAAAACATAAAAATCATTTTAATATTAAAAATAGTAAATATTGTCTATATAAAAGCTAAATTAATAATAGATTACTTCCTGGCAATAAAGCTCATAATACAAAACAAACATTGAAGAAGTTATTCACTTAAGAGAATTACAGAGAAAATCTACTAAAGGATATTTTTTTCTATATTAAATGTGTTTCAAAAATTAAATATTTTAAAATAAGTATATAAATAAAATATGAAAAGAAAATTACTTTAAAAAAATAATAATAATATTAATAACAAAAATAACATGAAAACTACTAAATAATGATGATAATAATAATAATAATAATAATAATAATAATAATAATAATAATAATAATAATAATAATAATAATAATAATAATAACAGTAACAAAATAATATCAATTTTAATAGTAATGATAATAATATAAATAATAAAAATAATTTCAAGAAAACTACAAAAAAATAATAACAATCACAGTAATAAAATAATATCAACTATAATAATAACATTATTATTAGTAATATATTTTTAAAGAATTTATTCTTGTTTCTTTTTCTATTATTATTTTATAACAATTCAAGCAGTAATTATTTGACATTATCTTTCCACAAATTGTAGTAAAAAAGCTAGTTTTCTTTGATTTCAGAACTTATTTATTCATCTAAATTAAACTAAAACTTTTAATGATGCAAAAACTATTCTGAAATATAGAGTAACTCTAACTTTTTTTTAATATATATACATACATTTTTTACAAAAACCAAATTTGTTCTTCATAAAAACTAAAATTTGTTTATCATAAAACTAAACAAATTTGTTCATCATAAAACCTAAAATTTATTTTAACCTACTTTAAACCTAAAATATACTTTAATATATATTATAATATATCTTAATTATACTTTTATTATATTTTTAAATACATTTAATAAATAACAACTACATTTTTGTATATAATAATATTAAAATAAATATTAAATAGTGATAAATAGCATACAGATAAAAAACATATTGAGCAAAGTTAAAAATGTTTAATGATATTAGCTATAAGAGATAAAAAAATATTAGCGATTGTATTAAACATGGTATGATGATTAAGAAAAAAAAGTAAAGAATTGAAAAACACTTTCAAGATAAAGCTTTCACAAAACTAGTTACTTATGACATCAAACTGGTTTATGACTTGAGCTGTTTGTGCATATGATTAGTTTAGTTATGGAAACTAACTAAGGGGAAATTTATTAGTTGGAATAATGACTGAAATTTAAAGAACATAGATGAGTATTTGACTTTACCAAAATCCCGGAAACTTTTTTTAATGAAAATCCCAGAAAATTATATTATTAAAAATTGATCGTATGATAACTGACAACAAAAACTTTTGTAAACTTTTAAAATGGAATTTAGATTATTTTACTTTTTACAAATAGGAATATCTAATATTCGAAAAGTTATTTGAATGAATTAAAATGCAAAAAAAAAAAAAAAAAAGAAAAAAAATTGTTACAAAAATTAATCTCGTGAAAATTTTATTTATAGAAAACTTTTTTGTTTAAATGCAAAAGTGGTCATACTTAAAATTTTATGTCAAAATATATATATTTTTTTCAAATTAATAACAAAAAACATCCGGAAATTTCTGGAAAATTAAAGGAGTTTTATGAAAATTTCCGGAATTCCCGAAAAAAAATCATCTATGATTGTAACATTTAAAAAAGAACCAATGGTAACATTTAAAAAAGAATTAATGCCAATATTATTTAGAAAAAAACAAACAAACAAAAATATTATTTTGAAAAGAAATAATGGGGACATTTAAAAGATAGCAAATTCAATACATTAAGTACAGATTTAAAAAACTGAAAATTCTCAAAAATTAAGTGACTCGTGAACCAAAAATACCAAAATACCTTAACTTTTTTTTGCTATCTCTTATAATTCATTATCAGATTCTCAAAATATTTCAAATTTTAAAGAGTCTTTTTTAAAACAAAAGCTTCTTACTGTAAAACATGTGTTCCAGACCATATACTAGCTCTACCAAATGGGCTGTAATCCTCTGTATCACTTATATCTTCTGTCTATAAAATTGACGCAAAGTATAAAGCACACATACACAAACAAACAAACACTTACATCTGAAATAAAGTGTATTTCAAAACTAAGATTTATTTTTCAACCTATGTCGTTGGTTATACACAAAAAATATTGAATCAAGAATAAAGAAGAAACAATAACCTTTCCAATCTTTATACAAAACAGTAATAATTAGCAAACAATATTTTTAAAACTATTTATGTGAAAATAATTAAAAAGCAAAAAAAATATATATTTAACTTCAAAAATTAATGCAACTTTGAAAAACTAATAACCTTGTTAATACTAAAAATACTGAAAAATCTAGCAAATAAAATAGTCAATAATATATTCTTTGTTTATAACTTATTTACAATGACATTAATTCAATCATTTATTAATTTGCAATTTAGGTAATTCCAGCCACACTTGTTTAAAATTGATGTTTAACTGATCAGCTTTATAAAATGTTTTTTTTCAATCAAATAAAACCTTGCAAAAAAACTACAGAACTTAAAATAATTATAAAATCTCAAATAATACAGAATTTATGGTACCATAAATTGTACCATAAATTCTGTATTATTTGAGACTTTATCAAGTCAAACTCTAGGATAGATGTAAACCTGTGTTACATTGTTTACTGTGCCTGGTTCTATTGGCTCCTATCAAAAGTTCAATTTGGTCATGATACAAAAACTTAGTTAAGAAGCATAATTAATTTCTCAAAAAACCAATGCATTATTTTTACCTTTTTTCAAAACTATATATATATATTTTAAACTAATAAATTTAGTATAATAAATTAATAGTTTAATTATTCAAAACAAAAGTTAAAAGTTGGAAATTTTACTTTTATGTCATTGGCGAATAAATCTTTTTGACGACAAAATAAAATTATAATAAGTAATTAAATCGACTGATCTTGGTCAAAGTTTTTTAGAACAAGTCAACATGTAAAATTTTTATTTATTTTATCATTTACCATAACGTTAAATACTTATTTTTAATAATTGGATATTGTAAAAGTTATTGAAAAAATATCTACTATTTCTTAAAAATTTGTGACCATGCTGTACAACGCTAAATTTTACATACGAATGCAATATTAAAATTGTATAAATTTTAAAGAAGAGGCAATATCTCAGAGGTTTTTAATTTACCCTGGTTAGGTTTAATATTAAAAGATGTTGTGTTTTTCAAATATTTCTACAATATATAATGACTAAAATTAATAATTTATTGTTATGGTCCAAAAATTAAAGTTTTAGCATGACATAATGGCCAAAAATTATCAAACATTTTTGATTTTATTGCTTAAGGCACGTAAACAAAATTTTTAATTTTTAACATTTGTTTTGAATATGAAATTACTAATTTATTCGATAGTCCTAGAAAAACGCTCTGATAAAATTATATTTTTTTAAAAAAAAAATTATTTAAATAGTCAATAAATCATATAAAATGAAACTTTGATATCAAATATTTAACATTTGTTCTCAATTAATATTTTAATTGCTCGCTAACTTAAAGACAAATGTGCAATTACTTTTCATCACATCCGCCAGTGGGAGGCAAATATTTACGCCTCCAATTTGGCGACCGCAACCAGCTGGGAAACAGAAGCTATTAGAGATACAAATAGGTTTGCTTCCAAAATTTCTTCTTGAGGCGGCCATCATTGGCTTCCAATTCTTTATTGGTGTCGACCTCCAATTCATTTTGCCTCCGAAAAAAAAAAAAAAAACTGACTAGGGCCACCAATAGAAAGGTGGAAGCCACTGGAGACAGAATAAAGAACATTTTCCCCCTAAAAATTTATTGTGAGACAGCTGCCGTCTGCTGAGGAAGAAAAGTGGAGACAAGAGTATTCATGTCGTTTATCAAAACTGGTGCCAACCTAACTTAAATTGATACAACATTAATGACATAATTGTTAAAGAACAGAGATAAGTCATAAAAGGTGCAAATATATCAATTTGATATATTTTTGTTAGGCACAGAGAGTACCTACATAGAAAAAAACACAAAAACTTTGTTGTTAAAAAATTAATAAAAATTTTTTAAAGACATACCTGTGTAGTTCCATATTGTCTAACAGCTTGATATATTGTCATATTATATGGCAAAATGTGTCCATTCATAGAAAACTCTAACATGTGTCTAAAATAAAATAATCAACAAATTACATAATGCATATTCTTATCATTTTAGACCTAAATTTATAAAGCTTACTTTCCATTGAGAGAGCCTTGCAATTGGGAAGCCTATAAAAAATAAAAATAAGTTGTTGGAAATGTTTAAACTAGAACATTGTTAAAAGGATAAATATTCAAATAAAAATAAAAATTACCCAGGATTCTTCGATTTCATCTTCAGATTGATCATCATCATCATTGTCACTAACATCATTTGAAAACTCCTTTCAAAGAGATAATATTAATTTAAACTTAATACTCCTACACTGATTGTTTCTTTCTTTTATTTTGCAATAAATTAAATATAAAAATAATTTTTTATACAGAATATCACTTTATATAAATATTAATTTACTTAAAAATTTTACTAAACAAAACAAATTTGGTAAAACAATATAAAGATCAATTATAATGAAAACTCAACAGGAAAAAAAAATGCTTTTAATTAATTTGTTTTTGGTTTAATTAAAAGTTACACTTTATTTGGTTTAAATCTTTGTATTACATATTGCATGACATATCCAGAATACCCAATGAAAACTTATATATTGATATGCCAAAGGTCTACAAAATTAAATTGCATACTGTTTAGGCCATGCAAATAGTACACCTGACTAACAAACAATTATATTATTAACCCTTTTTTTTTTTTTTTTAAACACATTTTTTGAGATTTATGCCAAAATATCCTAGGTTAAATTATGTGTGTTGACTGACTTAAAATATGTAAACAATAAGATAAATATTATTTTATTTTTCAAATGGTAAAATTTTATAATTTTTACATTTTCATATTAGTCAATTTTATATATTATTATTTGCCAAACTGGTGACTTTTAATTTGCAAAATAAAAAAAGTAAAATAAAACAAAACTCTTACATCTTTTACTCTACCAAATCCTCTGACTATTAAATATCTTTCTATTGCCTAAAATATTATAAAAAAAACATATTATATATATATATATATATATATATATATATATATATATATATATATATATATATATATATATATATATATATATATATATATATATATATATATATATATATATATATATATATATATATATATATATATATATATATATATGAAAGAATGCATCATTTTTTTGATATTTGAGATATATAACTTTCAGACATGGAGCAAACTCCAAGCATTAATATATTTATACTTACATCAAATAAAGACCCTTTGAATTCTTAATTGATTTAAATAACCAGCCCCAAACATGAGAGCAACAATTTGATAAAATGTTTTTTCATACTTTTTTTTTTCACTCAACTAAATATATTCATCAATTTTTAAATTCGTAAAAAAAATCTCTTGGTATTCAAAAATTATAGCCTTAATAAACTTACTTTTGTTTTTCACTCAACTAAATATATTCATCAATTTTTAAATTCGTAAAAAAAATCTCTTGGCATTCAAAAATTATAGCCTTAGTAAACTTATAACCCCTCAAATAAAGGGGTTACAACATTTATATGGTCATAATTATTGAATAAATTTTAAAATTTATCAATGAATATAGATTTATTTGGGAATAGTAAAAAAATTATTTTACTAACTTGTTGCTCCCCAGTTTGGGGCAAGTATCGCCAAAACCTAAGGCTTTTTTGATCCCAGGCCCCAATCATAATGTTTTGGAAAGCATTTTTATTTGAGATAAGTATAAACATATAAATGTTTGTAGTTTGTCTAGAAGCTTAATTTTCATAGTTATCTTAAATATCAAAAAATGCTGCATCCGGACCTTTATATATATATGTATATATACACTCCTAGTCAGCGTTTACGGGTCATGTTTTTTTTTTGTTTCCATTATGTTTATTTTTTACTTTTTTCATACTATTTTTATCAAATTTATATTTTTTTCAATTTTTATTTTATTTTCATTTTTATTTATACATATTTAAATTTATTATTTTATCATAAAAATATATTATTTATATTTCTTTTTGTTATTTTTATTTATTATATATTATACTTTATTTTTATTTTCATCTTTTTACAAAAACAATCAATTACAGTAATATAACCATATTTAAACCTTGCTGTAACCCTAACCCTAGGCTAACCTTGATGCTGACCCAAACAAAACCCTCAGTCGATGTAGCAGCACTCCCTTGCAAGTCAGGCTATTTGATAGTCGATGTATGTACTTTTCGTTCTCTATAAAAGTTGCTTACCAAGACATTTTTTGTCCCCATAAGTAATACTATAGGTGTGTGTGTGTGTATGTATGCAGTGAAGAACCCAGAGTTTATTTGGGGATACCGGTTTTTTTCAGCAACGTTGAGGAGGAGGGGGGGGGGAGATTATGTTTTTGATTTCCCCCTCCCCTCATTCTCCTCTAGTTAAACAGGTACCGCAACAATAATTTTTAATCATCATTTTCTTAATAATCCTTTATGTTTATCTTGTTCAGTTTTATCCTATATAAAGGTGTTGATTTAAAGGCATTTTTTGAATACATAAATTTACTGGTCGACAATGTTACTTGAGCTAAAAGAAAGGGTTCGTCACTGGTATGTATATAAGTGTGTGCGTGTGTGTGTATATATATATATATATATATATATATATATATATATATATATATATATATATATATATATATATATATATATATATATATATTAAAGGGTGAATTAAGCCATTTTGAATTGTGATGGGCCAAAGACATTTAGCAATCTTGAAAGAATGTTTTTTGAAGCAATTGCTAATTTTTATATTCCTGGGTAAAAGTCTTTACGAAAAAAAGGTTTTATCATGTTTTAAAGCAATTTTGATACACAATAACCCAGCCAAGCAAATATTACTTTTGTTTATTTGTACCTCAGATTGGGTGAAACTAATTTAAAATTAAACACAAGATATCACCAAGTTATACTTATCTTTTAAGTTTACATATACGTATATTCCTTTGAAGTTGGTTAAAGTAATAACAAGCTTTTATTTACCTCTTTTTTTTTAAATTTTTTTGGCATATATAATTACTTTTATAGTGCTTTTGTATTGCCTGGATTATAACAGTTTTAAAAGTTTTACGGAAAAAGATTGCTATTTTTGTTGCAGCAAATGTGTTGTTTTTCTTTAAAAAGTTTTGCAATCTGGTAAATTTGAGTTATTTCACCCTATGAGAGTGTGTGTTTTTGTGTATGTGTGTGTGTGTGTGTGTGTGTGAGTGTGTGTGATATAAAAAAATAAAGAATAAAAAAATAGAAGTATGTTTCAAAATAAGAAGTAAAAAATTAGAAATAAAATAAATACCAAAAGAAAAAAATCTACGTAATTAGATTTTGTGGGAGTACCTGCACAAGTGCTAATGGATCAATTTTGACAGCTCCTCCTGTCCATTGTTTTACTGATGTACAGTCTGGGTGTCGACTGAGAGAGCACTAAACATGTAATTTTTTAAATTAAACAAAGATAATAATTAAAAAAAAAAAAAAAACTTAAAAAACAAAAACCTTTATTTGATGAGTGTTAAAAAACCGAAGAGCTGATGTTCCACCTCTAAAAAATCAAACTTAAAATTATACTTTAAAACAATACCACAGTTAAAACATTTGCATAGTTAAAACAATAACACAGTTGTAATAAAATTTTTTTTAATAATAAACACTTCCACAGTTGAAACATTCACACTTTTAAAGCACTCACTTTGCTAACATTTAACAGCTACAAAGCAAAACTAAATTGCTAGAAGTCAATTAATCAGAATGCTATTATGTGCACTAAAACACAACTATTATTATGTGCACAGTATTATAAGTATGTGTATTTATATACACAGTATTATTAGTATGTGCACAGTATTATTAGTATTATTAGTATATATTATACAGTATTATTAGTATATATTAGTATGTGCAACTATTATTATGTGCACAACTGTTATTATGTGCACTAAAACACAACTATTATTCTTTTAACACTGCTCTACATCAATATAGAAATTGTTACACATATAATATCTATATAACATTTAATACTTTTCTTTTTAAGTAATTACTTATTGAAAGATCAAAAGCAAATTATTTAATTTTAAATACTGTATTAATAATTCAAACAAAGTTTTAAAGTGCTTTTAATATCTTGTTTTTTGACATTAAAATGTTGTTTAAAAACAATATTTTAATCTCCAAAATACTAAAAAAAAGAAAAGAAAAAATGTCAAGAGCGCACCCTCAAATTAACTCTTTGTGCAATACATAACTATAATATTGTAACTGTATTCACTATATAACTATCATTTCAAAAACATTTAGTAACCTTGTTCCATTACCACCACCAGAATCATGACATTTCACAGGAAACTAAAAGATTTAACATTAGCATAAAGATTAAAACTTTTGCAATTAAAATAAATTAAATAACAAAAAATTAACTTAACAAATATTACCTGTTCTAATTGGTTAACACAAAGATTGAGTTTCTGGACTAATGGTATTAATGCTGGTTTTTCACAGATATGCTATAAAAAAATCCAAATTATATTTAAAAACAAAGCTTTATAAATAATAATTTTTTTTTAATAAGAAATATACTCATTAAAACCTACCACAGAATTAATTAAATTCTTTGTTGTATCATTTGTTTTCATCTCATTTTTCTTAAGAAAAAATAAAATAATATGATACCAATAGTAAAATATAACAACAATGTATAATAAAACAAAAAATAATAAAAATTTATATGATAGTATAAAAAAAATTTTAAAAAATAATATAAAACCCATAAATGATAATTTTATATTATACCTTTATATCAAGAAAAGCAGTGAGAAATGTTTTAATTCGAGCACTTCTTTTTGAAGATTTGTCATCCTTGTTAGTTAAATATCTATGTGCAAAGTTTTAGTATCACAATGACTGCCGCAGATAAAAAAAATGGCAAAGCATTTTATAATTAACAAGCATAGTTATTATAAAGCTTTCTAATTAAATAAAATATATAAACTTTTTTAAATGGAAATATTACTTTTTTTATATAATGCAAATATTAGTGTCAAATCATAATTTTTTATTATTATAATATATATATTATTATAATATATATATATATATATATATATATATATATATATATATATATATATATATATATATATATATATATATATATATATAACCTTGCATGGTAGTCAGAAAGTTTTCCCCATAAACTGTAGTTTTAAAGAGCGCGTTTATACACCAGACAAGAAAAAGTTTAAAAACTCAAATATATATATATATTTTTTTTCCTTAAATGATAGACTGCCTGCCCAAACCAAACCCTCAGTCGATGAAGCAGCACTCCTTGCGAGTCAGGCTTTTAGTCAGTCGATGTAGCAGCACTGCCTTGTGAGTCAGGCTATTTGTCTGTCAAAGTAGCAGCACTCCATTGCAAGTCAGGCTACAAGATAGTTGATGTAGCAATACTCCATTACGAATCAGGCTATAAGATAGTTGATGTAGCAACCCTCCTTTGTAGCAGCAGGCTATAACAGCCTTGGGCAAAAAATGGTATGCGATCGAGCGCTATTGCTGAACACACAAATGATTTTATTTCTTAACAACTTGACCACAATTGTAAATATGTTTTGATGATTTAAACATTTCAGAAACGCGCGGAATGTAGAAATGCTAAGCTAAACTTAAATTAGGAAAAATTTATTTAAAAAAATAACGAAAAAAAAATTCCTAAAGAAAAAAGAAACGAAAAAAAATCTATAGAAAAAGAAATTATATAATCACTACAATAAAAATAAAAAATAAAAAACTCAAACTCCAAGCAAAACTTTTTTTTTACGTTTTTAATCGCGTTTGAAATAAATTTTTTTAAACTCTTTATTAAAGTCATGCAAAACGCTTTTAAATTAACAAATTACAACAATTTGTTAATTTATGAACAATTTTTATCAAATTTTTTAAAAAGTGTTGTATTTTATATTTAATATTTTTAAATTGTATAAACATTTATTTTTTCAAAAAAGTTTAAAAAAAAAAAAAGTTTAAAAAAAAATTGTAGCCTTTTTAAAATAGTAATTTTTAATAATTTTATGCTCTAATTAATATCTAGTTAAAAAAAAAGGTTTCTAACTCTTTAATCGTAAAAATAGGAAAATAATATATAATTAAAATGCACCTGCACTTGAGATTTAAATTAAATAAACTGTCAACAAGCAATTTAATTTAATTTTAATTTGAGCATTGTAACTTTATTATCAAGCGCTTCACTTAACGAATTTAAAAATTATTATAAATGATTTCAACTCATTTATTCCTATAATAAATAGAAATAAAAAAAAAAAAATGTTTTTCAATTTTAAAAAACCGTAAGTTATAAAAATGAATCGTATGAACATGAAAATGAATCGTATGAACAAATTTCTTAAAAACTTTTCCATTAATCAACAAAATAAATGCTTATAAAAGTAAATAAAGTTATTTTATATTCTTGTATAATTCACATAAAATGTGTAAAAGCTAGTTGTCACAAAAGGTTTTGAACTTATAAATTAAAGTAACTTAAAAAAATCTTTCTAAAATTAATGCTTTAAAAGATTTTTAGAAAGACATGGAAAAATAGTTTCAATCGTTTAAATTTATCATGCCTACACAAAAAATAATTTATAAAAATATTTTTTATTAATTTACGCACGCGTTTATGTAAACAATCATTAAAAATAATTAAATGGTTTTATTTTAAAGCCTTTCGCGTAAAATAAAAACTTTAGAAAAGATCAACGATTAAAAGATATTCATAACGAAACATTTTCCATTGCATTTAAATTGTTAAAACATCAAAATAGCCGTGGTCAAGTTGTAAAGAAAAAAAACTATTAGCGTGGTCAGAGTGCGATTGCACACCATTCCTTTCCAAGCCTGCTATAAGATAGTCGATGTAGAAACACTCTGTGCATGTTTAAAAAATATATTTTAATAAAACAACAACAAAAACACCATTAAGAAAAAATTTCTAGTCATTATTATTGCGGTTTTTTTAAAAAACAATAAAATTTAATGTACTTCCGCATTAATTTAATTGCTTTGACATTTCGAGGCTTAAGAGTAAAAGTAATAAAAATTGTAGTCGAAACTTTTTTTTACAATAGTCTCTTTCTTATATATATATATATATATATATATATATATATATATATATATATATATATATATATATATATATATATATATATATATATATATATATATATATTTGTATATATATAATAATAATAATAATAATAATAATAATAATAACAACAAATTACAATTTGATACTAAATATTAAAAGTCATAGGTTGTAGCTTCCAGATAATATTAGAACCCATATTATTCAAAAAGTTTATTTTTGTTTAATCAATCATCCAAATTTGTAATGAAAGTTTAAACAACAAACGAAAAACTAAACAACTAAACTAAAAATACTCTTTTTTGTTATTATTCAATACTATTTTCTTTAGCACTTAAAAATAACATAGGCAATAACAAAATAAGCTTATACTGCAAATAACATAGCAGATATTGAAAATAACATAGCAGACATTGCAAATAACATAGCAGATATTGAAAATAACATAGCAGATATTGAAAATAACATAGCATATTCATATAAGAATTTGTATAATTAAAATTTATAGTATAATTTCTATTTATAATTAAACATATTTTTATAAAAATTTAATAAAAAAAAAGCGTAATTTAATTTAAAAACATAAATAAATACATCACAGAACAATAATTTTTTTTAATTTCTAAGAATATGCTACAATCAACATTTATTAAAAAATTACCTTAATAAATTAGTAACTGTGCCACTGTGTACAATTTCAAAAGGTGATGCACCTGCCTGTTGGTTATCATTTATTAACACACTGCACAGTTCTAATAATGGATGGATATTGTCGCTTCTCTGATTTAAAAAAATATTTATTTTTATTTTTTAATATCTTTTATAAAAATTAAATAAAAAAATTTGATAAGTATAAAAGTTTTAATAAAACTTTTAGATTTAAAATTACTTTTTAGCAACAATTAATTCATTAAAATAATTTCAACTACTAAAATTTTTTATAAACAAACTTAATTATTTGTAATAATATTATAAACAAGGCTCAGCATGCAAAGTTATGTGATGATTCTCTATGTGTATGTATATATAGCATTTAAAGGAGCTGCAGGACATCGGACATTTTCCAGAACTTATCCGGTAAATGAAGTTTACCAGATAAGTTCTGGAAAATGTCCGATGTCCTGCAAAAAACATAATTTAGCGGTCATTTTGTTGACCCATGTTTTGTATGCATTTATTTTATAATTATTTTAAGTGTTTTAAAATTACTACTAAATACATTATGGTAAAGTACTAAATAAAGTATGGTTAACTACTAAATACAGTATGGTAGTTTTGAACATTTATATTATATACAAAACAGAAAATAAAGTCAAACACACAGTTATGTTATATATAAAAAAAGTCTTTTTTTGAGTGAGCTTTTTTGAATTAAGCAGCCTATGTTTTATCAAATATATTAAAACATTTCAATAAATTATTATTAATTTAATTTTTTGAAATTTATCATTTTGTTTAATGGTTTTAAAAATTTTTAACTAATATTTTATCTTTTAAAACTGCTTTCAAATTTATTTTTACAAAAACTTCAAAGTAACCATTATTTTAATGCTAATAGAGATGTGCCGGAACCAGTTTATACAGAATTTCCCGGGTATTTTCCAGGTACCCTGAAGAAAATTTTAACATATATTAAAATATTTGAATAACTTGCAGTGATTCAGGATTTTTTGAAGAATGAAGTTAAAGGGCTTTTATGTTCCCAGCCTCCAATCATCACAATTTTTTGCAAAGCTTCATTATTTAAATTTTAAAATTTAGTTTTAAATCTTAAATTTAAAAGTTTTGAATTTAACGTGAAGAATTACATATTTATATAAATAAATAAAATTGCATGTGTTTATGGTAAACAATCATTAGTTATTTGTTACTTTCAAAAATTTTTTGTTTCAATTATCTCTTTCTTTAAAATTCTTTTTTTAAATTTTAAAAAAAAATTTTTTTTTTGTGCATTTTTGAAAACTTAAGTTGTCAAAATATGCAAACAGTTAAGTTATAAAAACAAAGAAATATATTTGTGGTCAGGAAAAAAACAATTTTTAGCCTGAAATTCCCATGAATGTTGGGAATTCAAACTTCCTGAACTTAAAAGTTTTAAGCCAGACTATTTATTGCAAAAACTTTGGAAAGCGCATAAAAAAAGGGCTTGTCAAAAAAAAAAGTGTTTTTTTTTAAACAGCAAAAAATCTTTTTTGTTAATCAAATTCTTTTATGAAAAATCACGAAACCACTTTTAACAATGAATTATTTTATCTAGAATTTAAATAAAACATTTGTTTTGTCGTTCTTTATTTAGTTATTTCATTTAAAATTTATGCAAAGCATTCTTTTCACTGTTTCTATTTTAATTAAAATAGCAAATAAAAATGAATTGCGTTATGTATATATATATATATATATATATATATATATATATATATATATATATATATATATATATATATATATATATATATATATATATATATATATATATATATATATATATAGTTGCAAGTTTTTTGTACCAAATAAAGATACAAAGCCTTTTGTATGTTTTTTTAGAGTGATCAATATAATGAAAATTAATTATTTACAAAATAGATCATCAATTGTATATAAAAATTTAACTAAATGAAAAAATACAACTTTATGATGGAACTTAAAGGATCTTACTTCTGCTACAGCTTGGGGCTTGAAATGGAAAAAATTAAAAAACATATTGCTGATATATTTAAACAAAACCATCTTCTTATATCAACACTGTGCAACATGAAACTTGTAAATTATCTAGACATCACGCTAGATCTCAATAACCACACTTTCCAATTGTATTCCAAACCTGGAAACTCTTTAAACTATATTCACATTGATTCAAACCACCCACCAAGTATTTTAAAACAACTTCCACGTTCTATCGAGTTAAGATTATCTGCAAATTCGTCAAGCGAAGAAATTTCAAAATTCTACTGACATGTATAATGAAGCATTGTTAAAATCAGGTTTCTTTCATAAGCTTTCTTATCCTAACTTAAATTTAACTTGTGCTAAGCACCGTAAACACAACATTATTTGATTTAACTCCCCTTTCAGCAAAAACGTTAGCACAAATATAGGAAAAAAATTTTTAATGTTAATCGATAAACACTTTCCTATTAATCACAAGCTCAATAAGATTTTCAATAAACACAATAAAAGAAAGTTACAGCTGCATGCCAAATATGAAATCTATCTTAAATGCACACAATAATCATATTTTAACAACAACAAAATTACCAATAAAAGCAATTGCAACTACCTTGAAAAAAAAGACCTGCTCTTTGGCAAACAAATGCCTGGCAAATAACACTGTGTACCAAGCTAAATTAACCTCCAATGATCCTGCCCAAACTTCTATAAACAAATTTTACATCGGTATAAGTGAAACACCTTTTAAAATTAGATACGCTAATCACATTAAATCATTTAATATTATCAGGAATAAAACTGACACTGAGTTATCAAAGGAGTTTTGGAAATTAAAGGAAGCTAATTTGAATCCTGTAGTTAAATGGAAAATAATTAAACAGTCCAATGCTTATAACCCTACAAAAATCTTGTAGTTTATGCTTAAATGAGACATGAAATTCTAATCTCTAGAAATCCAAACTTATTAAATAAAAGGAGTGAAATAATATCTAAGTGCAGGCATAGAAACAAATTTCTTCTGACTAATTTCGATACCAGTGATTAATTCACTTTCTATGTTACTTTTTGTTTTGAGGTCAGAACTTTACTGTTGTTATATATATATATATATATATGGCTGATGATTGCCGAAAGGGCAATATATATAACCATATATATATATATAACCATATATATATATATATAACCATATATATATATATATATATATATATATATATATATATATATATATATATATATATATATATATATATATATATATATATATATATATATATATATCAACAATCAACAGCCATATATATATATATATATATATATATATATATATATATATATATATATATATATATATATACATATATATATATATATATATATATATATATATATATATATATATATATATATATATATATATATATATATATATATATATATATATATATATATATATATATATATATATATATATATATATATGGCTGATGATTGCCGAAAGGGCATGAAACTTTAAGTTCCATTATAAAGTTGTATTTTTCCATTTAGTTAAATTTTATCTATGTAATTTTATGTATGTGTATTTTATTCAAATGTAATCTTTTAAAGCAATTTATGCTATTGATTTTGTAAACAAAAATACTTTCAATAATAACTGCGTTTTCAATGAAATTATTAATATTCGTCAAAGTTAATACAAATAATTTTAATCACTAATCCATTTTCCTCAGTGTACCTGATAACTAATTTCCTCAGTGTACCTGATAACTAATTCTTTCCCCCAAGAAAGAAAAGTTTTTAATTTCTTAGAAATTGGTTTACTAACTTCAATTATTTTTGCCTCAGCCATTCTTACAAACTCGTTATACTTAAAGTTACTTTTTTCTGTTTTAAATACTAATTAAAATTATAAAGCCGACTCACTAAACATCATCAGCATTATTGTAAAGCAATTCCGCTTTACAATAATGCTGTAAATAAAACTCCTCACAAATAAATTTAACGTTTTTAGTTAATTTTTATCTAGCTAATTGAATTTATAGAGTAACTCAATGATTTAATTATTTCATTTGTTCATCTTACTAAGAAGAATTGTTTCAAATGTGTTAAACTTTTTAAACTACATGAAGCATAAAACAGTTATTGAAAAAACTTTTTTATTTATAAATAAATCATCTAGCGTTAGTTTTATTGGTTGAATCTTGTTGGACTTTTCAGCGCCGGGGGCTGCATTATTTTGGCAGCCTTTTTTATGTGCCACAGCGTAAAAATGACTAAAAAAATACCAAATGGTCCTCTTGACTATTTCCCCTAACATTATGAGTCCCGGGGCTATAGCCCTACTACCCCCACCCCACCTCCTCCATCCACAACTGAAAATAAGGCATAAGTGTATAAATAAAAATTATATATACTCTGATAAATCGAAGAACATTTGTTTCTTTATAGTTGTTACTTTATATAAAAAATGTCGCCTAATTTTATAAAAAAAATTATAAAAGAGCGACATTTCAAAAAGAATTGCTCTAATAAATTTATTTTGCTTAAAGTTTTATCGCGTTAAAAGCTACTTTTCTTTTTTTAACTGTCTTTCATCGGTCCAGTTAATCTTATTGCGCTTTTTTGTTTGTTTTTGAAATATTCTCAAAACGACTATAAAATCTGGCCGGTTTTTCGCAACTAAATATTATTTCCATGGTCAATTATCGAGTGCGATCGATAATTGACCACGTCTATATATATATTTGTATGTGTATATATATATGTGTGTATATATATGTGTATACATATATGTGCATATATGTATGTGCATATATATATATATATATATATATATATATATATATATATATATATATATATATATATATATATATATATATATATATATATATATATATATATATATATATATATATATATATATATATATATATATATATATATATAGAGAGAGAGAGAGAGAGAGAGAGTTAGGAGAATTAAAAAAACATACTAATGCTGCAAGTTCTTCAGATGCTTGTGTTAATCTTTGTAAAACACTTAGAGCAGGATGAGTTGAACCCAAACTTCCTGCAAAGTATTTGCTGTAAAATTCAGTAGCTAAATTATAAATGAATAATTTATTGAAATTTAAATAAAAAATAAAACTGTTAATAATATTTTTTTAAATATTTTTTTCAAACCTGTTTTTTTTATCCATTGTTTTATGCACTCTCTGTTTTTGTCATGTTCTTTGTTAAATTGCTCCTATAATATATAATTTAAAGTCTTTAAAAAAAAAAAAACTTAATATATATTCATCTTCTCTAGACTGAATTATAGAAAAAAGACCTTAAATGAATTTTCTGCAACATTAGTTACATTAGAAGCATCTGTATTGTGATACGATTCTGAACGACCCCATCTAGGTGCAAAGTTAGAAAAAAAAGATCGTTTGGTTGAGTTTGCGTTGGTTGATGCCAAATTATTGGATGAAGAAAAAGATGCTGACTTAGGTCTAATGGTTTCATGAGATAGCTTTTTGGAAGAAGATTGAGGCAGGTCTTCTCCATACTTTCCACTACTTTGTCTGCGAGTCAACTTTGAACCTCCTCTTTTTTTACTTCTTAAGGCATCAGAGAACCTGAAGTAGAAAACAGAATAAAAAAGAAAATGATTATTTGTTGAGTTAACATTTAAAAGAAAATTATTTAAAGAAAAGATAATAAACAAACTTTGATGGTTTTGGTACAATATCTGAAGTTTCAGGAGGCGCTAAAACACCATGCATTGTACAAGGAAGCTCAATGTTGTTTTGGTTTTTTCTTAAAATTATATCACTATCCTTTTCACTGGAGCCTGCCAAACATTTCCAGTCATTATTTATATCTGAATCAGCTAAGATTTTTATCTTATGCATAACACCTTCACGACGAAAATAAACATGAAATATATCAGAAAGTTTTGTCATTAAAATTTCAATTTTTTGCATTGCTGAAGTAACTATTCTTAAGTCACTAGAAGAGAGCATTCCTGCTATATAACTGGATATAGGAATATTTTGAAGAACATCTCGTAAAAGTTCACTAGGAGAATGATACAACATCTTTAAAGCTGAACACAAACATTTATGCTTTACAGCAGGACCAACTGAAGAATAATATACAACGTAGACTATCCTAATTAAAGACTGAACAAGATTTTTTCCTTTTTCTGGTTCATTTTTAAAAATATAAACTCGCTCATCTTCTTCAGATATTTTAGATTTGTTCACAGTAGCATGCCCCTGATCTGATTTCCTTTGAATTAAGCGCATTGTTCCCGTGTCTTCATTTATCTATAATAAAATTTTTTAATATATATATACATATATATACATATACATATATATATGTGTGTGTGTGTGTGTGTGTGTGTATATATATATATTATACTATACTCAATCCATATGTAAGGTTGCAATTTCCTAATATTATTTTTGGGCTAATTATATAAAAAATTGCGCTTAAATTTTTTAGAAAAAGTAGAAAAAATGAAGAATGATGAACGAAATGATTGATTCCTCATTATAAACCTTCAGTCAATCTAACAACACTCTGTTGTGGGTCAGGCTATTTGATAGTCAATGTATGTACTGAAGCCCCCACAATTTCCTGTTTTTTTATGACATCATCCATGTGCGCCTAATGCTGCATTTATATGTGTGTATATGTGTATATGTGTTTATGTATATATGTGTATATGTATATTTGTATATATGTATATATGTATATATGTATAGATATATATATATATATACATATATACATATATATATATATATATATATATATATATATATATATATATATATATATATATATATTGTGTATATGTATATTTGTATATATGTATATATGTATATATATATAGATATATATATATATATATAGATATATATATATATACATACATACATATATATATATATATATATATATATATATATATATATATATATTACACACACACACACACACACACACACACACACACACACACACACACACACACACACACACACACACACACACACACACACACACACACACACACATTTTTTAATTAAATAAGCTACTGTTTTGACTAATATGAATTATTACTTGCAAAGCAATACAATTTATAAAACTATCATTTAAAACTTAGCCCAACAAATAATTAATTCATAATCAATAACATGTTAATTGTTTAAATTGCAATTATATTTATATAAATTATATTCAATTAATAATTTAAATTATATGTAATTTTATAAAAAATATATCTAAAATACAATAACAAATCTCACTTGCTGCATATTTGGAAAGTCAATTATATAATTTCGTCCAAGTGTTGACAAACTTATTTCATCCTCTCCACTTTGATATGCTGCTTCTATTATTCGGTTATCTACCCATAAATAGGAATGCCACACATTGAGATCATCTTTCCATTGCCAAACACCTGACTGAGTACTTTGTTGTAACCCTTTGCTTAACTGTGTATCAATAGAAAATATCCCAGATGTAGGTAAGCTAGGCATAAGTTCACTTATTAAGCAAGTTAATTCATAGAGTTCTTGTGGACTACGAGCAACTAATTCTACACTATCAACCAAAGTAACATCATTGCTACCAATCAATAAATATTGCACAGTTTCTGAAATATCTAAAAAAAACAAATACAAATGATAGTTAAAAATATTTTGAAATAAATACTTGTTGTATCTAGGGCACAAAAAAATTCTTCTCACACTTTTTAAGAAACATTGAAAAAATATTGAAACTAAATGTTTTTTGATTTAAGATTAAAGACTTTAGTAAAATTTATTGAGCAGCAATTTTGCTTACCAAGCTTCAGTAATTCTACAGCAAGAGAGGGACAATTTGCACACATAATGGCTAACATACGAATGACCATCACGAAAGTACTACTGCTTATAATAGGTGGATTTGTAAGCTTAAAAAAAAGATTTGTTAAAAGTAAAACCAAAACCTATAATAGGTAGATTTGCAAACTTAAAAAAAAAACTACTTTTAAATTAAAGAGATAAAAAATATTCTTTGTTCAATTTATAACAAAAACTACAAACATTTAGTTATATCTAATAAAAATTACCAGTTTTTTAATATTAGCAAGTAGCCCATGTTCAGAAAGCTTTAACAGTAAAGCCTATAAAGACAAACCAAGTACTTAGCAATTACACTAAAATTAGTAATATAGAAATTGCTAAACACAAACTAACTAAACTTTACCTTATCAGACTGGATGTTGTCAACTATTCTAGTAAATGCTAAACAAACACTTTCAATAGATCTTTTATCCTACAAGAAACATTTATATAAAACAAAAATAGCGAAAATCAAAAAAAACATTTTGATTTAAAAAGATAAAAAAGGTTTTATTAACTTCTGAAAATAATCTTACCTGATTTAACAGCTGATTGGAAATTATTTCGATTGAATCAACAATGTAACTAAACTCATCAACAGTAACTGATTGGCAGCAGTTAGCCGCAATGGCAAGAGCTGATCTCTAAAAAAATATATAAAAAATTATAAAAATAAATATTTAAAGCAATAAAATTTAAAAAAATCTAAATTAAAAAATTAGCTAATAGTTTTTTTTTAAACAAGAATTCACTCACTTGAGCAACAATAGAGAAGAAATCCAAAAATAATAAACTTGCATTTAAACCACCCTAAATTAAATAGAAAAGTAGGCAGGTGTAAACACACCTTATTTCTAGATAAATAACGTAGATTACAACTTTTAACATGTTTAATTCCTTTATAAATGTAGACAACAATCAAACCTGTAATGTAATTTCAGGCTATAATATTTAACACATAACAATACATACAGCATGAAGAATATTTTTCCCATGTCTTTTAGATAGCATTTCTAGTGCAGTAAGCGCTTGTTCTGCAACATCCATACACTGAATAGACTGCAACTAAAAAAAAAATATTGATTTTCAAAATTTCTTTACATCAATTATAGAGTTAAAACTTAAAAATGCCAGCAGAAAACGCTTAACTAACTGAAGGCAATTACTTTTGCTAAAAGGGAAGGTATTGCATCTACTACTACAATAGAGGATCGTGGAAGAGCTTCCATTAAATAGGTTAATGCACGGCATGCATGATTCATCTATAAAAAGAATGTAATAGGTTTAAATATTTATTTACTTTCATTTTTCATAGTGTATATAAATAAGTAATATTACAAATGTTATTAAAAATAACAATAACAATAATAATAACAATAACAAAAACAATAACTATAACAGTAGTACCAATAATTAAAAAAAACTAATAAAAATAAGAAAAACATTTTGATCGAGATTTTTTATTTCAAACTTACTATATCAAAGCTATGCTCCATTTGCAGAAGTGTGATCTATAATACATAATATATGAATCTATAAAATTTGTTTATTAAACATATACATCAAATAACATGTGTAATCCAAATTTAAAATTGCTATTAACTAATAACTAGAAACATTTAACACAAATTATGATAATTTGAATATGTGTCTGTTATGTCATAGTTGTTGATTTGAGCCTATTGTTGTGTGAAATTTTAGACTCGAATTTAATTGCACAATAAAACATTTTTCAAAGTAGATCAAGCAAGAAAGAGCAAAAATGACATGTACATAACTACAGGCAATGTAGATGATATTCATGAACACATCATAACTATTTTTAAAACCAAACATCTTTCTCAAGTTAGGATGTTTGATCTTGTTGCATCTGATGGACTTGATAGGCTTTAATGCTACCTTACTTTTTAGAAAAAGGGTTTAAAATGGAGGCAAAAGAGTACTTGGAAAAAATTCTGAAACCTCCGAAAGTCCAAATAAGACTTAATAAACGCTGTTTATGTTCAAGACAGAGCTCTTTGTCACAACTGTAGTGCGGAAGTAGTTGTCAAAGAACTTGAATATCTGGTCTAAAGATCTGGTCACCTAACTCATCAGACTATAATTCTCAGGATTACTCCATATGGGCTAATGCTCAAGCAAAGTTTTGTAAATGACAACACAGCAACATAGACATCTCAAAAAAATCTGTTGCTAAGACATGGAATGAAATGTAAAACACCTACAAATCAGATCCAGGATGGAGACTGTGATTGAGGCCAATGAAGGTTATATTAAACAAACTATTCTAAAGGCATGTATTTTTAAAGTATTATGTGATAATAAATACTTATTTTAAAGTGCTTCCTTTTTCATTCACAAAGTTATAAAGTAAATTATTCAATAATCTAAAATTTTAATTTTTTTAAGAAAAATTATGTTTAATTTCTGTTGTGAAGAATATTTGAAATCAAAAAAAAGTAAGAACCTTGGTAAACATTTTATAACGCTTTTCATCAATTATTGTAAATCAAAAGATACATAAAACAGAATAATAATATAATTAGATATGTATTACCAATATTGGTACAACTTGTTTGGCTGGAAATCCTCCTAATGTTTCTTCATTTCCCATCACTAACATCTAGATTTCAAAATAAAATTTTTAAGAATGTTAAGCTATTTTTTTAACACCATTTTTTTGGTAATAATATTTTTTCAAAAATTAAACCTGGCACATTTCCATGACACCTTGCAGTTGGAGAGTCTCGTCACCACTTTGCATTGAAGTCATTAATTGTTGAGCTTTTGTACCTTAAAAAATAATTTATAACTTTCAACATCTCTCTCTTTTGTGCGTGTGTGTGTGTCTGTCTGTCTGTCTGTCTGTCTGTCTGTCTCTCTCTCTCTTTTACGCAGAATATGTTTATTTGACACAAATATACTATCTAAAAATAAAAATAGTTTCAAAGCATTACTTGCGCCACTATTAAATGTTTTATGGAGAAGAAGGTGCATTCTGGGACCAAGACTGCCAAAAAGATGTGCTGGCAATCCTCTTGCTTCCAGTAAAGCTAAACAAAAAAATTTATCAAATAATATGTTGCTTTCAATTATGTTCAGCCAAAAACATGATTAAACTAAAAACTAAAACTTTTACTAAAAAATTATAAAAACTATAATAATATAATATCTTATAATAATATAATATCTAATGTGAGTAATAATAATAATAAATAGTAATAATAATAACAGCTGTCTGATTTTTATAATAAACAATATATTTTTTACTAATCAATAATATTATTACAACTTATTGATGTTTCATATTTATATTATTTATATACATATTACATTCTTTATTTCGTTCTGATTATGCTACATGTTTTGACGTATATCATTAGCCATTTTGAAACAACTATTTTTATGCAATTAACATAAAATTCATTTTTTGTTATTAATAAATTTATGATTCAAAAAACAGAAAAAACAGATATCGCTTGAAAAATAATTATTGAAAAGTCATTCTACAAATCAGATAATTAGCATTTAGTTTTATAGCTATGCCATATAGCAGGCTTTTGAGTGATAATAATATTGATAGTCATGGCTGCGAGAAATTCTTTTTGTAAAACGTTTCCTCATCCTCCATAAGGTATAAATTTTCTTGGTTAAACTTTGACAAGCTTCCTTGCACAGTGAATTGCTTTTAATTCTCAATAAATTGATCGCATCGGATTTTTTTCTTGGTGTAAGTCTTCAAACCCCTGCTTTTGAGTGCTTTTCTGACAAAGAAACAATTGCATTGAACTTTTTGGCAAGATCTCTTTGAGCTTGGAATGGATTTCTTGTAATTGACTGAGTGATCGAATTCATTTTGTTTTTGTCAACAAAACCTTTTATCTTTCCACCGCCTCTTTCTTTCTATATTTTAAGTCTTCTTGCATCAACTCATTATGTCTCCTACTGAAGGTTCAGCAACTTATGATAATTTTGCAATTTTTAAATGTGAACAGGTTGGATTTTGAAAGAAAATTTCCAGAACCTTTTTCCAATTATTTATTTGTTTACTCATTTTTGACGGATTAACTGGTAGTATTTGTAAATCCCCAATAAAATTAAAAATATGTATATAAAACATTTCTCGAGTTATATCTGGCCAGAAAATACTGAGCCCAACCGATACCTAACTTTCTTATATTAACTCCTTTTTATATAAGCAAAGTTCATCATTTAGATCATATCGTCTGAATGAGTTTTTATACAGGGCTCCAATTAACGCAAAGAAAAATCTAATTGCGAAAAAAAAATTATTACCCCCCCCCCCCTATACCTTGCGTCGCTTAGTAGTAATGGGGGGGGGGGGGGAGGAGGTTGTTGCGTTAATATAAAATTATATCTTTAGTATGAAATTGTTATTTTTTTAAACATTATCTCTCATATTTAAACATTATCTTATAATTTTTTTGTTTGGTGGAGTTTATAATAGCTTAAGTTACTGTTATAATTTACAGCTTAAGTTATAATTTAAAGATTAAGTTGCAGTTAAAGTGTAATGAGCAAGTAAGGTATTTAATACTATTAAGATATTTCTTTTAGTAATTGTTTTTACTTAACATGATACTTAAAAAATTAAAAGTAAAAAAGTACTCTTGCCTGCCGAATAAACAGGTGGAGGAAGGGGGGGGAGGTGGTCTTAATAAACGAGAGGGTCGGAAATATTTCTAAAACCGAACAAAGGAGAGGGAGGATTTAATAATTGGGAAGGTCAGAACTTTTTAAAAAAGCTAATAAGACGAAAACACTAGAAGAAAATTATTAAACTCAGAAGAACAACCTAATCTTTTTTTGAAATTAAAAAAAATCTAAAACTGTACAAGCTTAGTAAGCATCCTTCACCGTTTATTAAAACTGTACAAGCTTAGTAAGCATCCTTCACCGTTTATTAAAACTGTACAAGCTTAGTAAGCATCCTTCACCGTTTATTAAAACTGTACAAGCTTAGTAAGCATCCTTCACCGTTTATTAAAACTGTACAAGCTTAGTAAGCATCCTTCAGTTTATTAAAACTGTACAAGCTTAGTAAGCATCCTTCACCGTTTATTAAAACTGTACAAGCTTAGTAAGCATCCTTCACTGTTTATTAAAACTGTACAAGCTTAGTAAGCATCCTTCACCGTTTATTAAGCAGGTGAGAGTAAGAGTAAAAAACGCAAATATTTTAATACGTTCATGTTGATGATAAAACATGTGTTATTTTTAAATAGTATTTAATTTTTATTGTTAAAAGCTATAAAACAACAATAAAACAAATGGCAAAGTTGTTTTAAAAATATAAATAGCTTGTGTTAATGTAAAACCACTTAGTGACACTATTTCATGGTGTTTTATACAGTTTGTAACTTAATAATATAAAACGTGTTTTAAATAAAAACTTAGCAAATAAATAAAATTGTTCTAATAAATAAATTAAAACATTATCGCCATAAAACTTTAAATTTGCGCAAAAACATGCCTATAGACCATACAAGTCTATAATCTATAGATTAGAAACGAGTAAGATTAAAGCAAAAAAACATTAGATATCACGTTTTTTTATAAATTATTGTTTCTTGATCTAGCGTACTATTAAAAATTTAAGTGTAATTAAGTTTTTCATTCAAATGGTTTTTAAATTGATGTTTTCATTAAATTTTTTTATTCAAATTGTTTTTCAATATAAAGTGAAACAAAAAAAAATTGGTTTAATAAAACTATATTTCTTTGAGTTTAAGAATATGCTTAAATTATTTTTTTAGAAAAATTTCTTTGAAGAGAAGTAAAATAATTTATTAATTTTAATTTTAATTTTTTATAATTTAATTTTAATTTTTGCAATCACTGGTTTAATGTTTACAATAGAATGTTGATAAAGTGAATGTTAATTTTCAAGAAACAAAATATATTTAAGTATTCAAAATGTTTACAAAATTTACGATTTACCAACAAAAACTTTCTTCTTCATCCTCCCTTGTTTCTTCAATTTTTTTTTAAATTATCCTACTTCTTTAAAATTTCAAATTTCAATCGTAAAATAACTTGAATAAGAGAATTTTAAAATACTAAAATTATTTTGTTTAAATAGATTTCTTTTGAAATAAAATTCCTAGAAACAACTTGCATATTTATAGAAAAATAGTATTTATAGTTAAATTTTGATATTGCTTTAAATAAAATGAAAATATTTAAAAATGGTGTCGCATTTTTCATATTCTATTCAACAATTTTTGCTAAAATAATTTATAGTTAAAAGCTTGAATTATGTGTTAACAACATATAAGATATAAAAGAAACATTTGTATGGCTAACATTTGCAAGTCTTTGAGTATATTAAGTAAATTAATATAATTGATAAGTTAATATTTGAGGTTGTTTTGATTTAGTTAATAGTTAAAATTACTGATGTAATTCCGTTCAGTAAATCAAAGTAAATATAACTTTAAAAGGTTCAAGGTTGTTAAAGCGAAAAAATATTGAAGCAAAAAAATTGCTGGTTTCTATTAGCATTTTTTAAACTAATAAAAGTTTTTTTTAATAAAAACGAATTAATATATATTTTAATATACTTAAAGGGACTACCAAGTCCAGAGACATGTTGTGTTCATATTAAAGAGAATGTTAAAAAAACGTCTGAGCAAATTTTTTTTTATAAAAACTAATTAATAAATGTATACCAAGAAAAACAAATCTTGTTATTTTAGTTGAAGCTTGTCTTCTTTATTTTCTGTGGTATTTGGAGTCTGTAAAATAAATGCAATTTTCCAGGCGCATTATACAGACTTAATAATTTATTCAAGTGCGTTTAATTCATAGACGTTTTAGTACATGACGTCATTGGAAACATTCTAGAAATTCACTTAAAATTTTACTATTAAATTTTACTAAAATAGCTAACTATAATAGCTAAAATAGTAATAATAATAGCTAACTATAATAGCTAAAATAGCTAACTATAGTTTACTAAAATAGCTAACAATAGTTATTTTATTTTCTAAAATCTTCACATTGAAAAAAACTTTGTTTTTTTTGTAGCTATCAGAGCCGTGGCTACATGGGCCAGGGCCCATGTAGCCACCAGGGCGATGGTGGACCTAGGGACCCTTATGGCGCCAAATCGAGTTATAAAATATCTCCGATGATTCACGAGTGTATTCTTTACATTTTGATGCAAGTTGTTTCGACAAGTCTAACGAACAATTAATTAAACCAAGCACTAGGAAAAGATATAAGAAATAAGAATATACTAATAAAATATTTAATTTGTAATTAACTTTTAAAATTTTGACAATTTAAAAAATATATATTATAAAACATTTATTTTTGTAAACAAATGATAATAATTTAAAAGATTTACGGCTTTGCAGATGTGGCTCCGAGAATGAGCCATAATATAAAAGTAATAGTTCATTTAATAATATATTCTTTAAAAAATTTATGCTAGATATCTCAAAACGCAACAAATCGTAAATAATACAATTCCTAAAACATTTCAACAGAATACTCTAGAAACTTATTTCATCGTATTTTTTGAACCAATAGAATGAGTTTATTTGTAAATTTGGCGGGTTTTTAGTGTTCGTGAATATTCTTTTTATTCTTCCGCAAGATGTTTAAAGAACATTCAAGTTAATTATGTTTCCATGTATGTCCGTAAAATAAAAATTAATATATATTAATTTTTTAATTTTTAAGCCCCTCGCCATAATATATATTGGATGTTATAATAATGGAAATATAAATAATGAAATAAGATCACCTCAATACCAAAAAATACATTTTTGAAAATCAGAGAAAAAATGCGTTAATAATTTTTTTTAAATATTTACGTAAACTAATAAAAGTGCATTATTATTTAGGTTAAAAAATATTTTATCTAATATTTTGAAAGAAAAACTTATAACAAAAGAAATCAAAATACACGTGGTCTAGACGATTATTTTTAAAAAGTTGCGCAAATAAAATACGTTTTTAATTTTTTTACAAACACATTTTAGAACTTTAAAATATAATAAAAGTGAATGTGATTTGAAAATTGCATGTAAAATATAATAATTGGTGTTTTAAACAAACAAACAAAAAAATCTATGACATCATGTACTAAAACTTCTATGAATTAAACGCACTTGAATAAATTATCAAGCCTGTATAATGCGCCTGGAAAATCGCGTTAATTTTACAGACTCCAAAAACTGCAGAAAATGGAGAAGACAAGCTTTGACTAAAACAACAAGATTTGTTTTTCTTGGCATAAATTTATTAATTACTTTTAATTTAAAAAAATTTGCTCAGACATATTTTTTTAACATTCTCTTTAATATGAATACAACATGTCTCGGGACTTGGTAGTCCCTTTAAAGTGGCAAAATTAATTATAAAAAATTGTTGATAAAATAATAACTTAAATTATTTATAATAAGTAAATTTGGTGCAACGTTTAAAAACATAGATAAAAACCAGGCTGTTTTGATAAAAAAAAAAGAAAGAAGAAAAAATTCTCTTTAACGTCTTTTCCCTTTTCAACTTTTCACTTTAAGGACCTTTTCAAATATTAGTGGCTTCGATGCAGAGATTTAAAGTAATTTAAATTCAAAAGTGTTATTTTGAATGAAAACCTTTGCCAAAAAGTGCAAATGATCATTCCAGGGCTCGAATTAAGTGATCGTGAATTGCAATATCCGGAAATATCTGTGGTCATTAAATTCTTAGTTTTTTTAAAAACCGTAAACACTGTTTTAATAAAACAGTCAGTTTATCATATTGCAAAAATTAATGAAAAAACAAAACAATAGATTTACTACTGCAAAAATAATAAAAGTCAAAATTTACATATTATTAGTTATTGTTTTTTTAAACAATAATTAATAATATTTAATTTGAGGATTATAAATAAAAAAAAGTTGCAAGACAAAAATTATTATTACTAAAGGTCCAAAAAACTTTCGCAGTAATTTAAAAATCAACCAATGAAAAACTATGCTTAAGCTATTTGCACATTGTATAAAACTTTGTATAAAAAAACAACCAATTAAGAAGTATACTAAAGCTACTTCCGCATTATATAAAACATTAAAATAGTTTTTATTTAGGGGGAAAATTTATGGAATTATTTGTTTAAAAATTTAAATGTTTTAAATTAGAATTTAATTATTTAATAAGAAAAAAAAATTATAAAATATATTTTATTAAAATATATTATTAGAGTTTCTTTTTTTTTTTTAAAGTATTTGTTAAAAAGTTTAAATTAGTTTTTATATATTAACTCCTCTGTCTTTTAATTTTATATTCGCATCAGCTAAAGTGTTACAAGCGTTAAATTTATAAGAAAATATTGAATGAGATTTAAATAACATATAAAAGTATTTTATATCTTAATAACAATTTCTTTTATTTAAAAAATTTGATCACTGTTAAAGTCCTTTAGATTGTTGTGATTAGCGCTTGTTATATCGTACTTTATCGTGCTTTAGTTTTCTAGTTTTTTCTGAGAGTTTATAAAATAAATAAAAATATTAAAGTTTAAATTATAATCTTTAATAATAATAAAAATAATAGTGATAATATGATTTTACATTAAGATTTTATATCATAATCGAAGTAAATATTTTTTATTAAAAGATATCTATTGAGTTTAGTGATCAAAACAGTTTTAGGGTTTTTAAAAAGCTAAAATTTTAAAGACCGGATATCACAATTCGCGATCACTTAATTCGAGCCCTGCATTCTATTCGAATAATAAGTTTAGAGTGACGTACTTTATACAGAAACATTACTTTTAAGAATTGCCAAAAAAAATGATAACTTGGAACAAAAGTAAATAAACAACCAAAAAAAAAAAAATTGCAAAAATATTTTTTTTAAGAAAAAACTAATCGCGAAGGTGTTAAAAACAATCGCGATTTGCTTAATTGGAGCCCTGTTATATAAACAAAGTTCATCATTTAGATCATACCACCTAAATGAGTTTTTATATAAGCAAAGTTCACCATTAAGATCATACCATCTGAATGAGTTTTTATATAAACAAAGCTCACCATTGAGATCATACCATCTGAATGAGTTTTTATATAAACAAAGCTCATCATTGAGATAATATCGCCTGAATGGATTTTTATACATCTACATTGGCTGCACATTAATTTTAAATTTATGCAAATTATTGATTTTATAAAAACTAATACATGATTTTATAAAGAGATGTTTTACGCTAAAAATAAAAAACAAGTTGCAACATTAATTCTTCCAATACAGTTTTTAACTTTTAAAAATAAAAAACTTAAAAAATAGTAATCAACTGTGAACCTTGTAATCTAGATATATCTGCTTCTTCAAGCCCAAGGTTAGAACCGGCATCTCTTCCTCCTAAAATAAACATAAAATTATTTTTTAATTATGCATTAAATTTTTGATAAAACTTCAAAAGTTCTTTTAATAATAACAAAAAGAAAAATTATGATAAACTTATTCAAAAACAATAAGCAAAAATTATAAAGCATTGCAGCAGCTAATCATCATCATTAGTTTTTATATTGTACAAAAATAAAAGAAAAATTAGAAAGAAACTTATTAAACTAGGTGACATTTTGACATTTTTATAACAATAAATCTTCAATATATATGTACCTGAAAACCCTTCAACTGAAGCTAACGAAGCCATTGCTCCAAGAAGAGGTGCATTGACAACATCATCAGTGCCTATTTTTTTATTTTGTTGATTTAAATTATTTTTAGTATAAAAAAAACTTTATCACCAGGTATAAGAAGTCCTAGAGTGGGGCTTTGGGTTAAGAGGCTTATTTGGGTTAAGACGCTAGGAGTTCATATTTTTACCAAAACTCTTGAGTTTCAGAATATGTAACTTATGGAATACATAAGAAACATACAATCTTTTCGAACAAAAGATCTTTCTTTTTTGGACAATCAGTTATAAGTACTATTAATACAACATTAATCTAAACTCAGGTTTAGAGTCATAGAGTTAATTAGAGTTTTGCTCTAGGACTTTCTATTCCTGTTTATATAAAAAATGTAGGAATATAGTAATATAGTATATATAATATATAAATAAATAATTTTTTTAGATTTTAGTAGCAACTCATGAGTTTTAGGGGAAAATAATTAAACTTAATAATTTAGTACTTTGTTTAATAAGTTAAGTTTTAATAATTTTTTTGTTTTTTAAGAAACACTTTCTTCTAAAACTTTAAACATGAACTTCAAACATAAAATAAACTTTGAATATACCTTCATTAGATGATGTGTTTCCAACTGTGGTTTCTAAATCTCTAGAAAGAATAAAGATGTTTATAAAATCTTTTCTAAATAAATTTGTTTTAACCCTCAGAATTAGGAAAAATGAGGTCAACAATAAATTGCTGACCCCAAACGGTCAACATCGCCGAATGCTGACCCTAATTCCGAGGGTTGAATATATATATATATATATATATATATATATATATATATATATATATATATATATATATATATATATATATATATATATATATATATATATATATATATATATATATATATATATATATATATGTATAAGGTCAACATCGCCGAATACTGACCCTAATTCCGAGGGTTGAATATATATATATATACATATATACATATATATATATATATATATATATATATATATATATATATATATATATATATATATATATATATATATATATATATATATATATGTATATATATATATATATATATATATATATATATATATATATGTATATATATATATATATATATATATATGTGTATATATATATATATATATATATATATATATATATATATATATATATATATATATATATATATATATATATATATATATATATATACACACATATATACAGCCTTCAGAATAAGGAAAAATAAGATCAGTCAAAAATTTGCCAACCTAAAACCACTTCAAGCCAGTATCAGGAAGGCACAAAATTTTAAATGTTTAGCATATAATTGACAGAAAAAAAAATGCTGTTTGAGTTCACCAATTTTCTATTAATTTGATCGCTTGATTGTTTGCTTAAAAATTTAAAAATCTCCTGCTTCTAGAGCAAGCACTCTAACCACTGCGTCACGGCCACACAATTTTTTTGTTTTTAATTTCAATTTTTATATTCAATAATTTAATTAATTTAAATAATTATTATTTTGTATTATTTAAATAATTTGATTAAAATGATCATGTTTTCATTTTTACTTTAGTCTACTTTATTCTGAATTGAAATAAAATGTTCGTTTTGGTGTGTTTTTAAACTAATTTGTCCAGAATTTAAATAAAATCATTTCATTCTAATTATTCTGGTTAAAAATTAAATTAAAAGTTTCTATTTATAATTTAATTAAAATGTTTGTTTGTTTTATTTTAATTATTTTATTTATATTTTAAATAAAACGTTAGTTTTTCTGAGGTTTTTTGTATTATCTAATTTAGAATTTAATGAATATATATATATATATATATATATATATATATATATATATATATATATATATATATATATATATATATATATATATATATATATATATTAAAATGGGGGTCAAATTAGAAGCGCATAAAACAGGCTCCTGTGGCAGAGAAAGAGTTACAAGTGCTAGAGATGACAGAAAAATAAAAAAAGTTATTGAAAAAAATCATAAGATACCGGCAATAAAACTGAAAATTGTTTTAAAAGACCAAGGAATAAAAATTTCACTTGGATCTTTAAGAAGGAGAAGTTATGAGTTTGGCTTCAAGTGTAGAAAGCCACTAAAGAAGCCAAAACTTACGCCTGCGATGATTAAAAAAAGCCTTACATGGGCTAAGAAGCAATCTTCTTTTTCTCAAGATGACTGGAAAAAGATTAAATTTCCATTTGTTTTTCCACAGATTTATATATCTTACTTATATTTCTTTTGTTTTTAAATTAAAACAAATATTGAAGCTTTACTTACCAATCTTATAATTTTCATACAAGTATTTTACATTATATAGAACATTTTATATACGGTCTCTCGTTTTTGTGCAAGAGAGTGCAGTATTATATATTCTGATTCTTACTTATTTTTATTTAAACAATGGGAACTATTTTCTAACTTTTTACGATATGACAATTTTTTGTTTTCCTGTCGAAAAAAAGTATTCATTAACAATTACTTTCATAAACTGACAGTATTAATTAGAGATATTTGATGAATTGTTAACTTTTTTTAATATACAAATTTTTTGATTACGATGATTTAATTTAAATTGCTAAATTTGCTGAATTGGATACAGATAAAGAAATATCATTTTATTTTACATTTGATTTTTGATAATGAAATTTTCAAAATGTCAGCAACTCCATACCAATTAGAACCTGTTAAGGTTATGAAAAAAAAGTACAAGAGTGCACTGAACAATACAGTTGACAGTAGTATCAGATATGAAAATTTGTGAAAGGATATGTGAGATCCTGATTTTGCATTAAAAGTACAATTAATAGCAACACAAGTCGGCATTATAAATTTTGATTATAAGTTTACTGTTCAATATTTTATAACCATCAAATTAAAATGAAGTTCGTATATTTTCGCCGTTTTATACAACTAATATTTAACAAAAATACGGACAAATTATTTTTAAATAATGCAATAATTAACACATTAATTAATGGCAATAATTCAAGATAGATGGTAATTTAAATTATTAAAATGTCATAATGCGCATTAAAAAAACATATTATATTTGGCATTTCCCAATTTATGTCATAACTGGCATTTGTCTCTTAACATGAAAAATTAAAAATTTTTAAAAACACAATTAACAAATACAAATTTTCAAGCAATTTTCTTTTCCAATTCTCATTTATTCAAATAAAAGTTACTATTAAACTTTTATTTCTCTCATCTAAAAAAAGAACCAGCCACGAACAAAAATATATATATATTCTATACAACTCTTATTCATTCAAAGTTTAATTATGCGAAACTTTTCTTTCTCTTTAGTTCTACTTTTTTATAAAAAGAGCGCGCAATGAAATAAAAACTTTTCTTTTTGGACATAAAATTATACTTTGAGATAAAATTATATTAGAAATAAATCAACAATGAGCAAAGCATCTAACAGATTAATCTGGAACTATTTTGATATTTTTGAAAATAATCAACATAAACAACATTATCAACAACAATTATCAAATAAACAACACAATCTCGCATAATTTTAGGGGCATTTTATTTTAATTGCTTAGTCGTTCTAAATAATAAGTAAATTTAGTTCAAGTTAATATTTCAATATTTATAGTTGCAATATAATAAAGAAATGATGTTTAATGTTGAACTTTTTATTTAGTTATTTATTTTTTACCTACATTTGTTATAAAAGACTTTAGAACCCCCGTCATTAAAATAATTTGTTTTAAATATATTTCGACGTGATTATTCAAACTAATTTTTTTCGTTTGACTTTCCGAACTTCATGCAAAGCAAAATGAAACGAAATATCGGCTAACCAAATTTTAGGCTGTTACTAATTTTATACGGGTAATTAATGTAAAACAATTTTTTATCAGTCTTGATTAAGATAATAAATATTCATAATTTATAAACATTAAATATATGGCGCAATAACAATTTATAGCAACAAACCAGCATAAAATATTTGAGATTTTTAATATCTTTTTAAATGTTAAAAATAGAAAAAAAAACTAAACAAATCAAAATAACTTTGAATAAAAATAAATAAAAATATTTCCAGAGTTTCATTTGTTAAAAGTCTACTATGACGTCAAATACTAAAACTTTTATGAATTAAACGCGCTTCAAAGAAATCGCCAAAGTCTGTAGATTGCAACACATAATTTGAAGACTCTGAGTTATTGGAAAAAATTGAGAAGGCAAGCTTCGGCTAAAAAAACAACATTAGTTTTTCTCGGTATGCATTCATTATTTATTTTTAATCATAAAAACTTGGTTCAAACCTTTTTTTTTTTAACATTATCTTTAATATGAAAAGAACATGTGTTGGGAGTTTGGGATCCCTTTAAGGTTATATTCAGCCAGAATCTACCTTTGAGAAGACAAAGCCACATTTGCCTGCTGCAGACCAAGAGAACAACACAAGCTAAAATGCATCATAAACACTGTAAAGCAATCAACATTTATAATGGTTTGGTCATGCATATCGAGCAGAGGTATCAGTCAACTTTACATTGTACAAGGGATGATGAAAAAAGATACAGAAGTGGTTTCCTAATGAAAAATAGTTTTTATGAGAGATAGCTCCTTGTCATACTGCAAAATACATAAAGACCTTTCTTGCTAATGAGAAGATTGAGCTACTTGATTGGCCTGGCAATTCTTTAGATATGAACCCTATTGTAAATCTGTGGGTGCTTGTTACATGCAAAGTGCTGCTTTTGCAAACAAAAAACTCACAGAATGACTGATTGAAATATGGCATCGAGATCCAGATATTAAAGTATTATTATTGAGTTTCATAATATGCTTTTTATATATCAATATATAGATTATATTAACAAAAAATAAGTTGCGATTGCTTGTAGTGAGTTTTGGATGCACCAAAAAGAAGAAAAGTTAAAATATAAGTTTGAGTCTAATAATATGATTAGGTACTGTATATATATATATATATATATATATATATATATATATATATATATATATATATATATATATATATATATATATATATATATATATATATATATATATATATATATATATATATACACACACACTTACTAAAGCGTATTTTTATAAGCATTTGCTCACTTCTTTTGCTTACCTTAACCCATACAGCTTTTTTAGAAAAAGTAGAAAATAATTGAAGAATGATGAATGAAACTATTGCTGCCCCATCCCAAACCCTCAGTCGATATAGCAGCACTCCACTGCGAGTCAGGCTATTTGTCAGTCCATGTATGTACTGAAGCCCCCAGCAGCAGGCTATTTCAGTATGACGTCAGATTGCTTACCTAAGTACGCAATACTATTTGTGTATATATATATATATATATATATATATATATATATATATATATATATATATATATATATATATATATATATATATATATACAAAATGTACTATGCCCTAATATCTAAAAATTGCGTAAATTGCATTAAAATACATTTTTTGAAATAAAAATATTAACAATTAATCAAAATATTCATTAAGGTTACATTGATGGCTTTAATGTCAATATCAATTTGCCGCTAATTTTTATTTTGAATCTTTATTTTTTAAATAGTATAAAGAATAAAATCTAATTTATTTCTTTATTGGTTCTCCCATGAGAACCCTTTATTGTAGATACTTGCGAGAGAAGCATTGCAACTAATATTTAATAAACAATCTATATATATTTCATTTAAATAGACTAAAAATGGATGAATGTGAACAAATTTTTGTTGTGGCTTCTACTTTGGTCAACCTATTACATAAGTTAAACGTATTATATAAACTTTTACAAACAAATATAATTAAAGTTTATAAAGACATAAAATGCAGAGTTATAGCATAGCAAGGTCATTTATAACAAAAGTATACCAAGGTCAATAATTAATTCGAAAACTTATAACATTTTTTGTTGTTCTTCTCTTACTTTTTAAGTAAGAGAAGAACAACAATTTTTTTAAAGCCGTTTATTTACGCAATGCAATTTGCAATTTTACTATTATTTAAAATGAGAAAGTTTTAAGCATAATCATAGGAGAAACTCATATTAATTGTATTAAAAATAAGTGAATACTTTTATTAAAAGAATTATAAAAATATAAAGTACTAAGTGTTTCATATTTTGATCCAATCAAAATGTTTGTTTTACATTTTAATCTAATTGTAACATATTTAGGGTTGCCAGACGTCCGTCTTTTACAAAGATGAACACAGTTAAAAAAATTATTTTTACAGGTTTGGCGATGTATTCTCCTCTGTAAAAGCGGACATCTGGCAACCCTAAACATATTCTATATCTCTTTCATGTGAATTAGAATTAAGCGTTCTTATTGACTTAAAATGCATTTACAATCTGTTTTTTTTTAAAAGTCATTTGCAAATGTTGCTTTTTCTAAACGACATTTAAAATAGATTTTAATTTGTAACAATTTTGCAACTATCATAACAAACTTTATTATTACAAAACAGTGAGATAATAAATAATTGCTTGTTTGTGTTTAACTTAAATGAAAAACTTGGTGCTAATATAAAATGGTTTTAAATTAAGTTGGAGCAGATATACAAAAGCTGACAGGCTTCATTGTGTTGTCTTGACAACTTATAGCGTCTCTATAATTTAAGTTTTTTGCCTTAATGCCCTTAATTTAGGTTTTTCTAAAATTTAGAGGAGTCCTCTATATAGAGTTCTCTCTATATAACTATAATTGGTTATCAACCTTACAAACACCATCTGCGACTTAAGTGCAATTTAAATAAAATAAACTGCCAACAAGCAATTTAATTTAATTTGAGTATTACAACTATATTATTAGGCGCTTCACATAACGAATTTAAAAATTATTATACATGATTTCAACTCATTCATTCTTATCGTAATTAAAAAAAAAAAAAAAATTTCAAAAATTAAATCTATATTTAAAACATTTTAAAAGTCGTAAGTTTTATTATAAAAATTAATCATATTAACATTACAAAAAGCTTCAAAACTTTTTCATTAATCAACAAAATACATTCTTAAATAAGTATATAAAGTTATTTTATATTCTTGTATAACTCACATAAAATGTGTAAAAGCTAGTAGTCGCAAAATGTTTTGAACTTATTAATAAATAAAGTAACTTAAAAAAAAAATCTTTCTAAAATAAATGCTTTAAAAGACGACATGGAAAAATAGTTTCAAACATTTAAATTTATCATGAAAAAATACATGCCTATATAAAAAAAAATTTATAAATAATATTTTTTATTAATTTACACACGCGTTTATGTAAACAATCATTAAAAAAATAATTATGTGGTTTTATTTTAAAGCCTTTGCGTAGAATAAAAACTACAGAAAAGATCAACGATTAAAAGTTATTCATAACGTAACACTTTTAATTGCTTTTAAATTGTTAAAACATCAAAATAGCGATGGTCAAGTTGTAAAGAAAAAAAACTATTAGCTTGGTCAGTTACAGAGTGCGATTGCACACCATTCCTGTCCAAGCCTAGAATTACATACTTCATTTTTTCTATGAAAAAAGATTTTTTTAAAGAACAATTTATCTGGAAGAATTTTTATTGGTATTTGCAACCATAGTTTTGTCAGTTCATTTTTGAGGATTTTATGACTTTTATTTGTCTTTTAGTGAAAGTCCATATAAACCCCTTAAATTATATTCAAGTGTCTTGCTGATAATGGTGTGTCTAACATTGTTTTTAGTTAAATAATCAGAGATTGAATTTGTAGTATGATGAAAACATCATTGTATTAATGAAAACATCAGTTATAATTGGCTTAAATCAGAACTAGAAACATCATATTTCACAGTTTTGAAAAGGTGAAAAAATATATATTTATATAGATTATATAACATGCAGTAAAAAGTACTATTAAAAACCTGGAATTCTCCATTACTGTTGGCTGAGAATTGGCTACTCGAGATCTTCTATTTCTCCTATAATAAAAAACTGAAAGAATTAAGCAAATTGTACATTAAAATTTTGTAAATTTATTTATCAACATTAACTTTATTAATAAAAAATATATGAATGTGTGTGTGTGTCTATATATATATACATATATATATATATATATATATATATATATATATATATATATATATATATATATATATATATATATATATATATATATATATATATATATATATATATATATATATATATATCAATAGTCATATGAGTATCAATAGTCATATAAAATAGAAGGAGGTCAAAAAAAAAGTGTATGTACTTTATGGACGACCCCTTATTCAATAGAGCCTACCGCTTAGTTGATACAGTAAAGAAGGAATAAATTAGTTGAATATATATACAATTATATGTGTATATATATATACCTATATAAATATGTATATATATATATATATATATATATATATATATATATATATATATATATATAAATATATATATACCTATATAAATATATATATACTTATATAAATATATATATACCTATATAAATATATATATATACCTATATATATAAATATATATATACCTATATATATATATATATATATATATATATATATATATATATATATATATATATATATATATATATATATATATATATATATATATATGTACACACATATATATATATATATATATATATATATGTATATATATATATATGTATATATATATATATGTATGTATATATATATATATATATATATATATATATATATATATATATATATATATATATATATATATATATATATATATATATATATATATATATATATATATATATAGTGAGTTTAGTATTCTATAAAAAAATATCATATTATAAAAATACTTTTTAATGCATTTTTTAAGTTACTTTAAAAAAGCATTAATTTTTTTTTCACATGTATAAAAACAATCTTGTTACTTTGGAGTAATGTTACTAATAGATTATCAAAACAAAACTGTACAATGTTCAGTTATGTAATTATGTAATAATGAATATATAGCAGAAACTTATCATGACTTTTATAAGCACTTTATTTGTTTTATTACAAACTTTGTTTTACAGCTTTTGTTGCATTTCTATTTATATAATCCTATATTAAGCAGAGGGGTTTAAAATGATACTAACAACGTTGTAAAAAACAATGTTTTTATTTACCCATGATCTATTAAACCTGTTAACAAAAATTTCAAATAAATTTGAAAAGTTTTTAAGTGATAGTAAGGTGGGAAATATAAATATATGGATTGTATTTATATCAACTTAGAGTGTTCATAAAAAAAAAAAAGTCAACAATAAATTTGTTTTTATTTGTATTAGCAATAAAACAGCTATCGACAAACAATTAAGCTTAAAAAACTATAATCTTGATTAATGGATCTAAAAATATTTTTTGTTGTGATCTATACATTTTGATAATTGTTGGCAAACCTGTTAATAAACAGGTTTTTATTATTTTTAACTAATTTTTATTTTCTACTATTAAAAATGAACTAGACAGCCTTATAACTATTGTTATTAATAAACCTATATAAAAAAAGATTTAAAAAAATCTTATACGTAAAAACTTTCACTGTGTGTTTTTCTAAAACAATATTTTCAAAACAAACAAACAAAAAAAAAAATTAAAAACAAAAACATTATAAAACGTGCAAAAAAAAAGTTACTTTTTAAAACTGTTCTGTTGCATTAAAGCATCAAGTGATAGCCATTAAAATAACAAAACCAATTATCTTTTAAGTCATAACATTAATTGCTTTTAAAACTCAATTAAATAGGATTTGCAATAAAAGGATTAGATCTTAATTTATTAAAACTTTGAACCTTTTGTGAATAAGATAAATTTGCAAAGAGTTTGTTATCAAGTTGGAGTTTTTTTAAAAAAAAGGTATTCATTGATAATGAATAAAACAGAAGTTTTGTTTGTAATTTTAAAAAAAAAACAATTAAAGAAAATGAATAAAAATTTGGGATTTGAACAAACAGTAAAAAAAATGTATATTTAAAAAATAAAAAAAAATAAAAAAATTAATAAACAAAATATAAATTATTATTCTATAAATAAAACTTTTAATATACTATTATGTTATAGTATATACAGTATAAACTAAAAGAATGAAATAATTGTAAAACTTTTTCATTCAGTTTAACCCTTATTTAGCTATTTGGTATCATTATCTAAATATATATTTTAAATTATTTTCAACTAAGATTAAAAAAAGTTCTTTTTTATTTTTTAGGGTTAGGGTAACCCTAAAAGTTTCAATTTTTTTATTATTTGTTATTATAAAATACATATTGTTCATAGGTTTTTTTAACAAAAAATTTAAAAGTCATTTCATATTTAAACATTTATGTTGCCATGTCATTTTTAAGCTTAACTTAGTAAGCTTAACTTAAATTATTGACTATAAATATGCATTAGCTTTAACTATCTTGATTCATCCACAAACAGCTTACACTTTAAGCTGCTCTACATTTGCAAAAAAATACTTCCCAGCTGTTTTTAAAAATTTTCACAATAAAAAAAAAATGCCTTATTTTAAGGTAAATTACAAATTTCAATAAAAAAGTGCTTTGCATTTATAAACACTATGATTGAGTATAATTTAAGATTACTATTGTAATATCCTACCAAAGAAAAAGAAAATTAACAAATAGTCACTTGTGTTACCTAGGTGCTAAAACAAAATTTAATTGCGACCTTTCAATAACTATTCTTAATACTACAACGTTTAATTCTCTCACATATAGACTACACCTGAATACATTCTTTACCACTAAAACACCTCCACTAAACACATCAAACATCCTGTATATTTGAAACCAAAATAAAAATATTTATAATAATTTTATTACATTATATACTTTATAATAAGAGAATAATATAATACAATTATTAGTAGTACAATGATTATAAAAAGATAGTATATAATTTAAATTTCCATTGTTTTTATTCTAGAAAACTCCATGTTTTGCGATTAGTCATGAATATTATAGTCAAACTACTAAAATTGTCTTGAATAGCCAAACTACTGTTCAAGAATCATTATGAGTAGCCGAAACTCTTTATGACTATTCTTGACTTACTATAACAACTATAAAAAGCCACGGACAATGCATTCCAAGATAAAATCAAATAAATATAGTTAGAACAACTTAAATGCATACATTTATGTATATTTATATGCAATACATTTATGTATATTTATACCCATATCAAATTTTGATACTGTGTGGTTCCTGAAAATTTAATTTGAGGTTTCTTGTAGATTCCAGCTTTTATTGGTTTGCTTGGTTTACTGAGTGGTTCACTCTACTTTGTGTGGCATATTGTATATATTTAATAACATAATAGTATATTTTAAAATAATAATAAGTTAGTAAGGTTAGATTTAGGGAGCGTTGTTTTAATGTGCTATAGTTATTTATAATAAAAAAAATAAATTTGTTTGAATTTTTAATTTAAGGCCCATTTATTATTCTTGTTGGAGTCAAACTCACAACTAAAAATCAAAGCCTTCTAGCATTTCATGTTTACTGCTAGGGATTTATGTGCTTGTAATTTTTGCAAGCATAACACTTAGTAGCATTGAGGTAGAAAAATAGTCACCACCAGAGCTAGATAAATCAAAGAACGTCAACTTCTTTATTTAAATATCAACAATCAGTTCAAAAATATTATAATAAAGCGACATTATTCTTGTTTTTAAGTTTTCATTATTCTTGTTTTTAAGTTTGTTACTACATTTATTTTGCATTAAAAAATATTGTAGATTTTTAAAAATGAAAAAAGAAAAAAGCTAAAACATTCTCAAAAATACTTGTAGCATTTAAACTGTTGTTGATATTCTTGCAAAACTGATTTTTCTGAATGTATATAATTTGTTATATGCTAATGTTTAAAAAATATATTATAAATAAAATATAATATCAAAAATATATATTTAACTTATATTTTTAGGTATAGATTTAATAATACAAATACAGCCCTTGTTTCAAGATTTTATTGCATAACAAAAATGCATAGCGCTTAAATGTAACTTTAACACAGCTTTGAAATTTATATTGTTAATAGTTATATTGGGTCATTAGCGTATTTGAAAGTACCACATACAAATTTATGTTTAAACTACGTTAAAAATTATTTAAATTAATATAACAAAAGTTACTGAATTCGGTATATGAAAAAGATTATATTTCCTCATAATTTATTTCTTAAAACAATTTTTTTCTAAATATAGTATTTTGTTTCTTTATCACACCATTTCTTTTTTTACATATTTGATCATATTTTGAAGTAAGTATAAACAATTTATAGAGAGATTTTAGTCAACAATAAGATATTCATAAACAAAATTTATGATAAATAAATAAATTCCGTCAAAAGAACTTGATACAATGCTGAATTTATAAGAAACAAATAGTTTTAAATACATTTGTGAAAAGAATTCTTTTAAACAAAAATACTACCTCCTTTTTTAAAGGAAAAAAATAAAAGTTTTTTATTTGCTTTCATATATTTTGATCTACAATGAAGAGATTTATGTTTTTCCGTAATGAATTAGTTAGCAAGCAAAAAAATTTCTTTTTTAAATAAATATTGTGAAACTATTTTACATTCCTTTGAAACTATATTTTACATTCTGCTTTACTATTTTACTTATATTAACTATTTAATTTTACTTTTTAATTTTACTTATATTAACTACTTAAAAAAAAATTATTTAAAATAATCATAGTTGCAGTTAATCGCTTTTTTTTTACAACTTAGTACTATCTAAATAAACCTCACATTATTGTTAATAAAAGATAATTTAAATATTTCAAAATAAAAAAGTTTTTGCTTAATGTTTCAAGTGTTTCAAGCCTAGAATTTTTAGAAACAATTAAGGACTGTTTCTTATTACAAGTAGTTAATAAACCAACATTCAAGCATAACTTTTTCGATATAAATTTAATTGATGATATTGATTGTGTATATGAAGTAGAAATAGGCCCCCATATCGGTTCCACTGAGCGAAATCAGTTTCACAAAACATTTTTGTAGGAATACCAAGTAAAGGATCCTATCTGTTCACAAAAAAATCACAAAAATTTATGATTACAAACGTGGTAATTATAAAGTGAATCACTTAATATTATTATTTAACATGCAAACATCTATGGTAAAGAAACTAACTAATGTTAAAATATTTTCATTGATTTTTATAACAAACTAGTTAAGAAGTTTGTGCCCGTGAAACCTCTCTTCAACCATGACTCATCCAAATCAGTAACCAGATGTATAAATAAAGATATCAAAAAAGCTTCAAGATATAAATTATGTCTTTTCAAAAAGATGATTGCAGTAAATTAAACAAAGGTAAGCTTAAAACTGACAAAATAACACACAATCTAAATTAGTTAAAAACCAGTAAATAAGGCAGTTTTACAATATGAAAAAAGCATTTCAATGCGTGCAAAAGAAAATCATAAAATTTTGTACTCTTACATTAACAAATAAAACAAAATTAAAAATGACATTAAGGCAGTGTTTGATACTGACAGGGAAAAAGTCACAGACAAAAAATATATCATTCATTGTTCAAACCAACACTTTCATAAAGCTCAGACCCATAATATAACATCAATGCTAGAGTTCCAAACAATAACTCAAACTATATCTTACATTGACAGTAAAACTATATTCGAATAATACTTGAGTAGCCACTATATTGTGCAGTTTAAACGAATCGAAACCGCCTGGAGTGGACCACCTTGATGCCCATATAGACTGGTCCATAAAGGTTCTAGAAGCCATCCAAAAAAGAGCAGTTAATGGGTAATTAAACTTGTGGCAGCAATAAGAAATTTAGATTATAAAGCCTGTTTAACTTATTTAACTTAAGGGAAAAAGGGGATTTGATTCAACATTTTAAGACAGTTAAAGGACTTAACGAAGTTGGATTTATATTAATGCCCTACTATATTCCTTTTCAGCACAAGAACCTGTAAGTAATATTAGAGGTTCTAAAAATAAGACTGTCAAGACAATTCACAAGAAACCACTTTATAAACAGGATCGCACTCTTATGGAATAAGTTACCTCTTATGGAATAAATTGTTGATTCAAGAAGCGTCAATGAATTCAAAAATCAACATGACAAGTTTATTGTTGGCAAACAGGCATCTGCTCAAATCTGCTAGACAGACTTCATGAGAAATTTAGTTTTTTCCCATTGCAGATTATTGTATTAAATTGTATTATACTAATATAAAACTGCTGAGTGTGTAAGAAAATCACTATTTCATAAAATGCAAGCTGTATTGAGTTATGTTATTGATTAATTAGTTTCAATGGAAAATAGTTATGAAAAATGTGCATTAAAAAATTTTAGGGCAAATTTGGCAAATTTATTATTATATCTTGCAACAATGTGTGAATTTTGCAAATAAGCACAAAAATTGTTTTAAATGAAAAAAAGTCACTTAAATACAAAGACATCTTGAAAATAGTTACTTTGTAACTAGGATATAAAATTGATTTAAAATAAAACAACTTCATGTTTTGCCATTTTTCATGTTTTTTAATAATTAAATTAGAACCATTATTTATTGTGGTCAAACAAACTTTTGTAATCAAATAATTTATTCGTTTTATTTTAGTCATCAATTAAAATAATTCTCAAGTTTTTCAACCTTAACTATAATAAACACAATCAAATTTGGATAACTTCTGTTTGTGTTTTAGAGTAAAAAGAGGGTTGTAAAAACAAAAACATAAAGATGCCCTTCTTGTTTGTAGTGACTTATTTTACAGATCAGGATTAAGTACTTTTATCATAATGCATAAACTTTTGATGGAAAATTACCATCAAATGTTTATGAGCTCCTTCTAACCTTACCTTTAATTAAATTAGAGCTTTTACAGCCCTCAGAATTAAGGTCAGCATTTGGCAATGCCGACTTAACTGTCAACCTGAAAGTGTTTGAGGTCAGTAAAAAATTGCCAACCTCATTTCTATGTTTTATGGTAAGACCTTTGTATCAATTTGTTTTTGCCAACCTCTAAAAGATTGAGGTCGGCAATTTATTACCAGCCTCCTTTTTTCCTAATTCCGAGGGTTGCTTTTAAATCAATTTACCTTGGAGTTTACCTTCTCCAAGGTAAGTTGCTTTATCAATGAAAAATTCTCTTTGAATTAATTATTCAAATTTAATAAAAAATTAATACTAAATAATAATTAAACAATATTACAATACCAACTTATAGCAATATAAGAATCAACTAAGGCAACTTTTTTTTCTTTTTGTAATTTTTATATCAATTTAGACATGAGTGATTGTATAATTGCAAACAAAACTTGACATGTGACATTTAAAGTATATAATAAATAATAAAATTAAACACAATGATTAAATAATATGTATTACATAATGTTCAAACATTATGGTTATAACTAAATTTTGAAAAAATGTTGATACAACTCATTAACTATTAAAACTATACAACACATACCTTGATAAACAAGACACAAAGACAAGTATAAAATCATTGAATTGTTAAAAATTTCTATATGTAAGTAGATAATTGCTTTTTATTGAAATTATCGATATTAATTATGTTAAGTTCATGATTAATAAAGGCAGTAAATCTGAAATATCATCAAAAGAAGCTTTAAATTTTTGACAAATTTTAATTATCAAATTTTACTAAAGTTTGAAATTTAGAAAAATTTAAAAAAATTCTTTTTTAATTAGGTCTTACAATGGCCAAGGGCAACCTTTAGGTAAAAAGATCACCTCTCCAACTTAATCTTAAACAAAAATCTAGATAAGCAAGGACACTTATTAAGAGCCTGTCTTTACTATGCTCAATATGGTAATGGACTCAAACAATTTTATCACTAAAGTTAATGAGGGTAATGGCTAGTTAATAACATGTACTGTAGTAAGATAATAAAAACAAAAAACTTCAGGTTAAGTTATAATAAATGCTTCATTTGCCTGTATATTTCTATTTTGCTACTGAGACTTGTTTTTAAAACTAAAAACAAATCTCATTATCACATTACTAAAAACTCAAATAACTCAGTAAAACTGTAACTACATACTATATAGCAATGATAACAGATGAAAATATATACCTAGTACTAGCACAAGACCCCAGGTTTACACTAGCTGTCCTCCGACCAGGAGGACTCCTGTTTCGAGAAGACCAGCCACCCGTCTTGGAAATTCTTTGCTTTACAGAACTACGTAACTTTTTGGGTGAAAATAGAGGTGCTAATTTTTGTTTACGCTTACGAGATGTCTGATCAGAGAAACTTTTGGTTATTTTTTGAGTTTCCTCTGAAAATGGAGCAGGTAATATAACTGCACTTTTGCTTTTAGATAATTTATTTTCTTTCGCTTCAGAATCTAATGCAACACCAAGCTCAGTAGTTAAATTAATAAGTGACTTAATAGGCTCTGAAAAATTTTCAGAAGTTGTCAGATTATACTCAGATTTACAGCTCTCCTGGTTTGTTGATAGAGATTCACTCAATATATCTGAAGATGATTGAGATTCTTTTAACTTTTTTCTTTGTTTGTTAAATTTTTTCTTTCTACCTCCAATATCAGATTTATCACTGCAGGTAAGTTGTGTATCTGATTGTGATACTCTTGATTTTCTTTTGCTCTTTACCCTAAAAGAAATTTGTTTCTCATTAAATAATGAATATATTCATTAAAAAGTTGGTATTGTATAGTACACATAAAAAAAAAAATAGATAAAAAGTAAATAATTTAAGTAATTTTAATATAACCATAACTAAAATTTTCCAAATTTTTGTTATTTTTTAATAACAAAATTAAATAACTTTTTAATTTAACTAAACTAAAAAAAAAACTGTTTGATTCAATAGAACAGAATAACTTTAATTCAATTTATAAATTTTATTTCTAAATTATTTAATTAATTCTATTCTATTTAATTTTTACTAATTACCTTAAATCTTCCGTTCCAAATTTCTGTGTTTGTAATGAATCTTGATTTGACGGTCTAATTAAACAAGAAGTATAAATATATAATCAAGAGTTAATCTAAATAATTTGTGTTAGTCCAAAATTCTATTTTTTGATTCTTTATTTAATTTTACATTATTATAAATGCATTTTTAGGAAATAAAATTATAGAGTTTCAAGCTTGATTGGATTAACCATTTATAAGGTATATGTTTTAATCAAACTGTACATCATTTTTCATGGCTTTTATATTTCAATGACTGTTAGATCTAATTATTCTTTAAACAACCATAACTATAATATGATTTTTAATTTATGTTATATTGGTTACATTTTTAGATTAAAAAACAACAATTTTACAATATTTGAAATAAATGAATAGCTAAAAGCTAATTGTCGCAATAATAAAAATTTTATGTCGTTAATTCAAACAATGTTGGATGATGTTCCTTACATGTGTTAATACTTATACACAAAACTATATTAAGAAGAGTGCATTATCAAAGCACACTATCTCATAACAAATAAGATTGACATCTATATGTGTAATGATTTTTCTGCTTATAATTTTGTATATTTTAAATTTGATACCTTTAAAACACAAGAAAACCTTTTTCACTCGTAATAATATATTATTGTTTCCAAATATAAACTATTACATATATAATTATTTAATAAAAATCTAAAAATAAAAACTAATAAATTTGCTAAACAGCTTCATTACCCCTGTTCAGGTATAATATTTCTTCTTGAAGCACGAGTTTTTCCTAAAATCTTTTGTGACCCACTCTGGTCAGATTGTACATCATCAGCCATTCAGGGTTTTTTGTTCCTATTTTCCGCTCTCTACTATTACGAGAAGGAAAAATGCATCTTTTCAATCCTTCATTAAAATTTTTGAAAAAGAAATAAAATTACAAAAGCACTTTAGGTACGACAAAATCGTTATCTCCAATTTTTGCTATAGAGACCTGGTTCTAGTTTTTTTTTTTTATTTACGCTATTTAGTAATCCACTGAAACCTTGTTTGCAGTAGATTGCATTATTGAGACTTTCACGAGTAACAAAATATAGTAACTAAATAGACAGGGCAACATAACGTTTTGAATATACTTAGTTTTTGCAAAGTTATCAGTTATGAAATAATAATATTTTGTCACTATGTTTGCTTGATCATAATGATCCATTACCGTCACATGTGTTGAAATATATCAACTATCTGAAATATATCAACTATATGAAATATATCAACATAATCACACTACATGTGTTTTTAGTTTGTAAGTAGAAAATTTTGTAATAAAAATTAAAATGCAAAATTAATAAATTTGTCATCTGGTTACGTGATTTTGGCAAGATCTAGTTTAGTATGCACTTTCTGTCTCCAAATTTATTAAATATTAGAAGCCATTAATTACTTTACCTAAAGTAGTTAACTGTTTTTTAAAAAAAGTTACTAAATAGACACGCGCTGTGAAAAAATCTTGATTGGTATTTTAAAACACTAGATATATATGCAGTTTCTTTTCCAAAAAATTTTAAATTTTTTTGTTAAACTGTTATAGAAAATGTCATCTTGCCCTATTCACCATCTTCCCCTATCTTCCCCAAATTTTATAAAATGATATAATATGTTTCCAATATTCATCAGAAAATTTTTGTTTTAAATGTATTAGATTATACTTCTAATATACACTATATATTATTCCTGTATTTTATTAAACAAATTTATATCCAACAAACCTGTTAACAACCACTGTTTAAGGGGCCGTTCGTTAATTACGTAAACAAATCAGAGGGGGGGGGGGGGGAATCTGAACTTTTTTGACAATTGTTGACAAGTGGGAGTGGGAAGGTCAAAACTGACCTTCAATAATGTTACTTTTTTTTAATAAATTTAATTACTTAAAAGGAAAATTATGCAGCGTTTGCAGTCCTGTGTTTTTAATTTTTTAAATAAGTTGAGCGAGAATGTATTTCAATAAGGCTATTTCTGTTCCTACTTTTTAAAAACCGTGTTAAATAAACTAAATAAGCGCACACGAGAAGTTTACTCGTAGCGCAAATATTTTTTCAAATTTATTGTTGGTTAATCTGCTATGCAAACTAAAAAGATTTTTGTAAGTACATGGTCTACATATTATTTAAACGTTTATACCAGGGCTCGGCAACCTTCAGCTTGCAAGCCTCGTGCGGTTCTTTCAAAGTCAATATGCGTCTCTTTAGCTCTATGAACGAACATTATTATAATATTGAAATAAAGCTTTTTAAAAACTTTGTAAATTGCCATTTTTGGGTCTTCCGTCTCAAAAAGTTGCCGACGCTTGGTTTATAAAATTTGTTAAATGAACTTTTTTTAAATACTAATAAAAATAATTATTAGAAATAAATGGCTCCCACTGAAAACTTTTAATAGGTTTAAAGTTAAAGTGGGGAGGATTGGTACATTGAAGTGTTTTATTAACTTGAAATATGTTCATATTTTAAACGTGTAAGGTGTACATATATAATACATTTTTTGAACCCTTTAACCTTTTATTTTGTTCAGAGTAAGCTTTTGTAGTTATAAATTGGAAATATGTTCATTAGTTAAAAGTTTATTAACTTTAATTTCAATACCGTTTACCTTTATCCACTTTTTGTTTAGAGTAAGCATTTGTGATTTTAAATAGTTATATTCATTTGAAATATGTTCATAAGTTTAAATAGTTTTATTTCTAAAGATTTTAATTTTATTCATATTCTTGTTTTAGTTGTAAACTAGCCTATTTAAAACGTTTTTTTTTTTCCATTTTAATTTGATTTTTAGAGGGAGGAGGGGGAGGGGGTTGTAATGTAATTTTGATGTAATTTTATTGGGGAAGTCTCTGGAAAGTTTGATAAGTTGTTGAGAAGGGAGAGGAGGAAGTTAAAATTACCAAAAAATTGTTGACGTAATTAATGGGCAGCTCCAAAGCGGGGAGTTTCTAGAATATAATGCCTTTAACTATTTATATAGAATATAAATAGTTAAAGGTCAATAAAGATTATTAGTAGACTTAAGAGTAAGTAACTTATTAGAATTAAATAAATATAAAAACGGAAGATGATTTTAAAGCAATGACGTCTGAGAAATTAGATGAAGTTTTTTGAACAAGAATGAGTAGTTACTTTTAAAAAAGAGACTTTGCTAAACAACGAATTACTTAAGATTGGATTTTGGTGAATGAAATATGTGATGATAGCAGCAATAGCTGCATTATTATAAAAAAATACAAAAAAATGTTGTCTTAAAAAGATATTGCTGCTTGAGCAGTTCTAACTATCCGTGCAGCCGTGGCGTAGCGGTTAGAGTTCTGGCTCAAAACCAAGAGGTCCAAGGTTCGACGCCGGCTCTAGCCCATTAAGCGAAATTGGTAAGAAAGGAGGCGTGAAGTTTCTAGTTAAATGTTATTCCGCAGTGCTCTGTGAAAAGACCGTAAGGAGCTCTGGGAGCACCTTAATAACCATTAAAATAACACAAATTAAAAAACTTCGTCAAAAATATGTTTCTGCACCTCATATAGAAAAAAAAAATGGGGGATAATTTCATTCATCACTACAAATCCTAAATTTTTACAAAATAGAGTGCCCACCCAATTAAAAAATTTGATGTGGGTCAGATGTGTCATTAAATGATAGCCAGACTTCCTTTATGGAAAGGCGTAAATATGAACCATACTTGGCTATGGTATTTATATCACTTAGGTAAAAGCTAGATATAGCCTATATGTGTCTATAATACTTATTCTACTCTAGTATTACAAATACCATAATCACGCATAGCCAGCATCACGCCATCCCATAAATTTAATGTGTTTCTCACATTTGGTCCGCATCAGATTTTCTTGACCGGCATACAAGATTGAATTTCTAAACAATCAAAAAGATGTTTTTTATCAAGACGAAATAATCAAAAAAGAAGTTATCAAGAAAAATGTAAAACCTTGTAAAAAGTAAATTACTTTGTACTCAACTAAAGGTTACTTGAAATCAAGAAAAAAAAAACAGCGGAAAAATTCAATATTTGCTAAAACATTTTCACATATGGGAAAGTTTTCAATCAAATTAATCAGAAAAAGAGTAGATTATTTTCATAGATTAACATATTTAGTTGTTGTTGTTGTTGTTGTTATTGTTGTTGCTGTTTTTCTTTAAAAAAATTGTCTTTAAAAGGTTTAGCTTTAGCCTTAGGCGGTCCGGGTGCGATCTCATTATACATTCGAATAATTGAAATTAATTCTATTTACTTTTTGACATAAAAGTAAAGATAAAAGAAGGTGTAGACTTTTGTTTTTATGTTTATTTTACTTTTAGTTCATTTAGAAATGTTTTTATATAAAGTTTTAAAGATGTGTTTAAGAGGGCGAACAATATTTTTTTAAATTTTATTTGCTTTTCCTTGCAGATGTTAGATGTAGCTCGTTAAGGTGGTTTCTAATCTTTTAAGCACGAGGATTCACGATCGTGGCTCTTAAAATAGTATTTAAAACGGTGACATCAAAATACCGTTGTTTGTACATTAAATAAAAATTGTACAAAAAGCCAAACCGCTGTTCGTTCATTAAAATTATTGAGCAGCCGTGGCGTAGTGGTAGCGCACTTGCCTCGGAAATAAAGGATCCGTGGTTCAAACTAGGCAAGTTTTGCAACATCGGTTAGGAAGGAGGCGTAAACTTCCAACTAAATGCTCATCCGCGGTGCTCTGTGATAAGACCGTAAGGACTTATTGGGGAACCTAAATAAAACTAAGAAGAAAAAAAAAGGTACTAATGACTTGGGCTCATTTTTGGAGATGTTCAGATCAATGATATATTATATAAGCTAGATCTATCTTGCGGGATTTTATTGGACGAATAATGAAGTTGATTTTTATTGTTTATAAATATAGTGCGCCATTTATAAAAAAAGCAAAAGCTGAAGTCGATGTGTGGAATAAAACTTAAAAAATGCAAGTCAAAAGTTTCCAGTAAATTAAAGATAATTCAAAAACACGTTTTAGTAATTATAAAATACTTATAAAAGATTTTTTATGAGGTTATGTTTATTAAAAGTTATTTTAATTCATACCACTCTATATATTATACATGAACGTCTTTAAGGTAGTAGAGACGCAAATAGACTACTTTCTGAAATTCGTTATTGCATTTGACATTTTGTCAAATAGACTACTTTCTGAAATTCGTCATAGCATTCATTCGTTATTTGGTTTATATAAACTATTAAATTCATTAAGAGAAATAGTTTACATAAAAAGCACTTTTTATTTTTTTAACAGAAAACCTATAATGTGTTCATTTTGACCCTTACAGATGATGTTTTTAAAACATGATATCTTGATAAAACAAAAGCAAAATTGAAAATCCTTTTGCACATATGTATATTATTATATTATACTCCCAATAACTCTTAGGATTTGCCTAAATCATTTTACCCTAAGAGTTATTAAAATTTTTGTGAAAATACTACTTTTTTTCAATAAATGCTGTTACAAATATGTATCTAAATTGAGTTTTTTTTATAAGATATTAAGTTTTTTATGTAAAGTCTAAGGGTCATCCGGAGTATTAGATCATGTTAAACACAAATTCAAAATTTCAAGTCAAATTTTCAAATGTTCAATTCTCTAGTTAACATGTTTTGAGTTGTAGCAAGTATGCAAAAAATTAAAAACAGAGAAAAATGCATAACAAAAAAAAAAGTTTAAAAAATAAGTTTTTACAGTAATCTCCACAGTAAGAACCAGTTTGAATCTACTGATTCTTTTTCACTCATTTTATCAAAAAATCCTTTTTTATGGCTCGAAATCTTTCGCTAAGCTTTTTCTCTGCGTTCGTAAACTTTTTATCCGTTTGCTTAATGCGTGAATTATCTAACTTTGTCGCCACAGCTTTTGAAATTTGTTTTTTCAAACCAAAGTGTTTTAAAACCTTCAATATTCCTTTCCAACCATCATAATAG